AAGCACAATAGACTAGCTTTGATAATATGAGCAGCTCCTTAAATGCAATAGTTTAATGTTTGATAGCTCTATCTTTAGCAATCCTACACCAAGATAGTGCCCTTGATGGCTTAGAGTATGGGCCAAAAGTCTCTATTTTGTTAAATGTACTTTAAAAATGTTACTCAAATTCGAATTGTTTTAAGCAGCAAGTTGTCTGTAATAAGAAATTTGATCATTTATCCACAGGGCTAGGCAAGGGTGTATAAACAAGCTGCATATCGTTTTTGGAACAAGAAGCAAAGGGGATATCGTTTTTGTAGCAGAAAATACGACGTATTTTTTGCTGGTTTGCTTTATAAGGGTTTTTTACGTTTATGGTTTAGGGTCAAAAAAGGTGATATCGTAAAATTTAAGGAAAGTCAAGGGAGACTCCGTTTTTTGCATTTTCGAAAAGCTACCTCGTGCCGAGCCCTGATTTACCCGTAATTAATTGGCACAATGTCGTTAATGATTGGTGATTCAGAACTCCACTTAAACATCTATATTCAGAAGGACAGCGTGTCAAGCTGACAAGTGTATAAGAGTAAAATCTGCGGTAGAAAAAATCGTTGGGGTTTTCGCGTGCCTTAAATGTTGAGTCACTTGTGCATTCATGAAAAGCAGGGCAGAAAACACGTGTTACGAACTGTGAAAGAGAGTGGCGAATCCTTTGAAGTGAGGTTCCTATATGTTTATCTTTTGCAGCACTTGTGCGAGAATGGCTCACAAGAAGTTCGACAGCTGTTGAATCGCAGAAGCTAGCATAATCTAGCTGAGGAAAGTCTACATTTTTCTAGATGATTTTTTTGTATCACCTGAAATACGAGAAGAAGAGCTGCTGGTGTTCAGAGGTTTGAACAAAACAGCTGAGAAAAGGAAATTTCTAGAGCATGCAGATCTAGGCTGATTTGCATAGAGAAGTGTGAAGTAAACAACGAAATCAGCTCTCATGGTTCTGATCGCAAACGAGGATGTATTACTTTCAATACAACCTCGACCAGTCCGACTCACAACATTATGAAAAATTAACATGATTTTTTTTGAATACTCGAAACTAGGATTCAAAATTGATTGTCCTTTCGGAGTACATCACAGCTTTGAAATCGTTTATGTTCAGTCACCATCAAATAATTCTAACAAAAAAGTATACACTCAACATGGATTTTCATCAGCCATCATTTGCTTACATTTGCTCAATAAGGCTCTGTCTAAAAAAACTGCTTCTCAGTTTCTACATTCTGCAATAATCCCATAACTCTTTGTTATCTCAGAAAATTTGTTGTGAACATTGTAGGTTACAAAGATGAAGAAAAATTTCAAAGAAAAGTGGCAAAGCGCGCTGAAACAGATACATTCCTGAAAGTTACAAAAGTGCATGATAGAAAATTGCATCCTTATGCTAGTTGGGCTTATATGAGGTTGGTTCATGATTGAGCACATTTTGTAAACTTCAACTCCGAAACAATATATTTCTTTTCCAAAGCAATCTTCCCGAGAGCATTGAAGGCTGTTGTAAAAAACAAACCTTTAGCCATACAAAGCATAATTCAGTAATTGTACTTAGTACGGGAAATGTTTTCTGGCCCAAAAAATTTTTCCCAAGGAACTTTAGTTTGAGAGTATATAATTTACTCTCAGAAGTACCAGAATGGAGCAAACTTTGCCTATTGTATGGCCGATTGTTGGGAACAGTAGTGCAAGACTAGATTTCACTGCAGTTACCTACGAAGATAATATTTTTGGAAACCAAAACTTCCACTTTCTTCTCATTTTAGAAAAGGCATAAATCTGTCTTTGAATTCCCTAATTTCTTCTTTCAGAAACGAGAAACTTCTGGTGTTTTGCTATCATCAGATAATTACTTCACTCTACCTGTGTAGAGCGAAAGCTTTGCAGTCGCTTCTCACCCAAGCTTTTATAAAGCTTGAATTCAGCAATCAGCCAAGTTGTTAAAGCTTTTCTGCTCGATTTTTTGAAAATTTAGTTTCGAGCATATTGTAGCAAAATTCTCGCAATTATGATGCGCTTTTTTGAAAGCAATCTGAGCGTTTTTCATGGATTTAGACAAAGTTAAAAAGAAAAAAACGAGCTTTAGCCTTTATATTTGATATCGTAAAACTCCGGTTTGCAGAAGGACTTCCGAAGACGAAAGTACATGTGAGAAACTAGAAGAAGCAGTTTCAGATGGCACAAAAAGATTTCCAAGAAAAACAGGTTTACTGCGAATTAGCGTTTAAAAGAAGAGGTAGGAAAAACGCCATTCAATTATGAAACAGCCTGAATTTCCCTCTGTTACAATGCTTCGCCATGTACACACTTTCACAACCCCACCTGACTCTAAATCTATTGCTTGAATAAGAGCTCAACTGATTCCTGTAATTTATTTATTTTATTTAATTAACTATGAAGTCGACATCCAACTGAATCTAGACGAGGAAGACCAATTATTTCAACGGTAGACCAAAATCTTATATGTCTTTCGAAAACAATATCCCCTGTTGGGGGGTAGTAGCCCGGGTACAAAGGCTAGCTGGTCAAATCCCAGTGAAAAAATGAGGGTTTTAGAAAGGACCATAAGATACATAAAAGAAAGAAACAGTACAAATGAAAAGCCTCGGAAGAGGGGGATGCTCAGCACGAAAACAGAACAAAATGATAATCAGGAGAAAATTCGCTATCGCTATGAAAAGCTGCTGTCGCGAAACCCCAGAAGAGCGCCAGATGGCGAAAAAAAAATGCTCGTTCAAAGTGTGGGTAAACGTAGCAAGATAAATGTTTAGAGATAAACTTCAGCCACTTGTCACTTGTCACACATGATACAAGGCTCAATCATTTGTCACTTGTCACATAATGTTTATTTGCTGGACATGATCGAAGGTATTCGTATCTAAACTATAATTTCACCTGGCTGAAAATCAGTTTTGTAGCTGTAGCTGCGTCATACTCGCATAGCTGCTGGGTTCGCAAAACTTTTGTTAGGTGGGATGACATATCGACATGCTACTGAAAGGGTCCTGTGAAGAGGTATATTCAAACACAATTATCCAAGAAGCCAGTGAGTCGCTAAGCGTTTGTCGCCATAATGTCAGTTAGCAAAGAGTCAGCGGTAGTTGGAGTGAGTTACACCTTGCACAGGGATACGATCATATTTCCCAGTATCAATCATGTCTAGCTTTTTTCTTGTGTCACAAGTTGCTGAATATTCAATTTCACATAAAAAAAAAACTAACGGCAGGCGGTCCAGTAGAGAACAGTTTACTGCATTCTTTTGCAAGAATCGGGTGGCAAAACTAGCCGAACCATAATTTTGTGACTTACTCCACAATGTCACACTGTCATTTCCAAACACTGACCAGATTCTTTCACGGCGCAACGTATTAGCGATTCACCGCACGCAGAGAGTACGCTGTTGCGTCCGACGAAGATAGTTCGTGCATGGAAGAGACCACAGACGGCAAGAGGGATGAAAGAGCGCTCGATCAGCGAGAAGGCGACAGCGTACGTGGTGACGCCCAGTCTTTGCATGCGATGAATTGACTGTTTTAGAGAAATTGTACAGATTTTCATGATTTTGATCAGGTCTAAAGTGCAATTTGAAGTTGTTCAATCCGACTACATCCCATTCATATTTTTCTGGAAAAGAACAGAATGATTAAACTTCTTCAATAATTTGCAGGTTAAACCTCGTGAAATTAGAATAGATCACGGTGTCAAGGTGTATGAGAACGGGGAAAACAGGTCCTCTAAAATACCGTGATGAAAGCGGAGATAAAGAGTGTGATAAAATTGCGTGCTTTACAGCTTGATAATATTGTAAAATGCCACGAACCCCGGTCTAATGCTCCCTTAGAAAAGCAGTGCCCTTGCCGGGATTTGTTATACAGAGACAATTATAGCGCCTCTGCTATACAAAGTATAAAATATCACAATTACGCTCTATTTCGCGGATGTGCTTGAATCACACCAAAGCAGCCGGCAACTCTCGATCGATATATCGATTTTCTCAGGGCCGTTTTGACGGATTCAACTTTCCATTAAACGAAAGCTGCGACAAATGCTAACTCTTATATAATACATATTGTTCCTTTCTGGGTTCTTACAGTTTCCCTTTCCTTTCTCTCTAACTATATAATGTATTGCTGTCCTATGATTAATCCTATATTCTCTTTGACCATTTCCGTTGTCGGCGGGCTGTTCAACAATTCACAACAGATTATCGCCGAAGTTTTTCAATCTGTTAAAGGACACAGTTGGAACCTCTAGTTATCAAAAACCTTTTATTTTTCTTAGTCCCAAAAAGGCTTGCTACCTTTTGAGCTAATTTTCCTTGAAATTTAGCAAGTGATGGACAGACCCGTGCTTATAAGTCATAAGGTTTTGGAACTTGGCTACCTTCAGTCACATGGCATTGCATTTTTCTGGGCTCGTTACACGAGCCGAGATAACTTATCTGCACAAAGAAAGTGTTCTACCAAGAAGTGTGTGAGTGTTGTTATCTAAAGGACCCGTCATACTTCGCCGAAAAAAGCCCAAAAGCGCCTAAAAGGGCCCAAAAGAGCTCAAAAAAGCCCGAAAGCGCCAGAGCAGAAACGAACTTTTGGTAGAATTTGACACTATTTTCTTGTGCAGACGACAAAAAATGAACCAAAAAGACTCGGTTGCGAAATCAACACACATAACTTCACGCCATAATGTGCGAGAAGTGTTCCGGCTCTTTCTGGCGCTTTTGGGCTTTTTTGGGCTTTGTCGGGCTTCTCTAGGCTTTTTCGGCGAAGTATGACGTGTCCCTAAGAAAGGCAACCATTAGAGCAGGTAACCAGTTGGAATATAATTTCCCAAGTGTAGGATCATGTCCTCCGATCCAACAAAAGAAGAAAGGTACGCATTTTTGATCAGTACTCCAAGCGAATTTTTATGTCAGATGATGACTCTTCTAGCTCTGGGACTGAGCTACGAGTTCGACAAACTACAGTAAACACTGCAGTCACAACGATTTTATTACAATTCCAATTATAGAATAGGATGACTCATGTTTGCAAACCCAAAGCTGAAAAACTGTTTCACTACTAGGGAGACTTAGTCATTTCTCTACCGGTTACGGGGATGATAGTGGGCGAAAGTTCTGGAAACATAAACAACAATATAAATAGTGCGAAACAAAAAGAACAGACAATTAACAATAACAGAAATGGCGTGCTCAGGGTGTAATTCTCTTTGGATCACGAGGGAACATCGATGCAAGGCGAATGTTGTTCAAGCCAAGGAACAGCATTGTGACTCGTTCGAGACCTGTAAAAGTACAAAAGCATAATCTCTGCTGGTTCAATACATCCACTTATGAAACTTCACCTATACCTAATGCTACGTCAGCCAATTCAAAAAAAGTAAATATTATCAAAAGTCAGACAAGTGAGTCATACATTCATGGCTTTTAGCACTTCGGTAAAGATAAAATTATAAGCAGATCCGTAAAAGTAAAGTAAAGAGCGCAGACGACGAATAATCTAGAGCCAAACCTACCAATGCCACCACCCGCATGTGGAGGACAACCATACTTGAACGAGTCGATGTAAGCTTGTATCTTTTCCAGTTCGATCTTATGGTGCTTTGCTCGTTCCACCAAGAACTCCGCGTCGTGAATTCGCTGAGCTCCAGACAAAATTTCTTCACCTAAAGTCGAAAAAACTCGAGTGAAATGAAATGGCTACTTGACGAAGCAGTGAGAATAACGGACCTCTCATAAACATATCGTAGCTGTTCGAGTATTTGGGATCGTGTGGATCGGGCATGGTGTAAAACGGACGAACTGCGAGAGGGAATTTGTCGAGTATGTAGAAGTCGGTGTTGTACTTTTGCTTAAAAAAAGATTGGATATTACATTTCATATTTGCAAAAAAAAAGACAGAATTGAAAAAGAAAGATAACGACCATCTCACCTTCACAAGGCGTCCTAGTTGTTTCTCCACAGGTGTACTCATATCTTCTTCATCGCCTATCTCAACACCATCCTCTCTCAGCATTTTCAAAGCTTCAGGATACCTTAAATGAGAAAGATGATCAACAATTCAAGCATCGTAGCTGCAGAACTGACTAACTTGAGAACAAGCGCTGGTTCGCAGAACTGGAAAGGCTCCGCCGGATACTGTCGTCCTACTGCAGCAATGGCGTCCGCATAGTCATGCTGCAGTCCTTTGAAAACATTGATCAGAACGGCTCCTATGGTTTCCAACACCTCAAAGCGATAAAGCTCTCATAAAACCCTTGCGAAGATCAGCAATGACAATTACCTCATGATAATGGAAGTTAAACGCCATTTCCAAATCCAGACCAACAAATTCGGTCATGTGTCGGTGAGTATTGGAGTCTTCCGCACGGAACACTGCACCAATGGTGAACACCTGGATATAAAAACTAGAGTGCTGCGGCAGATGTGAGCCTCATGCTCAAAAAATTACGGCATGCTATGTAGTTTCATCTCAAGTACAGTCAGCATTTGATAGTGCCTTTGCGGTGCCGAGATTTTGCGGTGAACTTTGCGCGTGGACAGATAGCTACGCTTGAGATGGCAATCGGGAGTGCAAAATGCCGGCAATCCAGGCTGCTATCCGGTCACTCACGAGTTTTACCGCAGCTCGGCGTACAGTTAGGAGGGCATAAATCTCCTGAACACGACTAACCTTCTCAAAATCTCCAGCAATCGCCATTTGCTTGTAAAGCTGAGGAGACTGTGCAAGGTATGCCGAGCCTTTGAAGTAAGATACCTGAAAAGATCCACTGAGCACAGATCAGAGAGTGTCTCAGATTTCTTACCTCAAAAACATTAGCGCCACCTTCACTAGCAGCAGAGATAATCTTTGGAGTATGTATTTCGACGAATCCGCGCTCTCGTAAGGTGTCACGAAAGAGTTTACAAACTCCAGCCTGTATCGCGAAAATTGCCTGATTCGTTGTTGTTCGCAGGTCAAGAACCCTGAGACGATAAACTTTAGTTTAGCAATTCTCCACAAACAGTGCACAGTCCAATAGCACCCCAAATCATCAAAAAAAAAAAAAGAAAGAAAGAGACCATACCGATTATCAAGTCGTGTGTCAAGATTGACTGCTGCCAACCCATCCGCACTATCGGTACGTCGTGTAGCATCTTCGATTTGTAAAGGCAAGCGTGGTTCAGCCGATGATACGACAAACACCTCGAAAGGGGAAGTGGTCGTGGACATAAGAGCGGCAACTTACGCAAAATTGTAACTTACTTGTATGGCATGAAGTTCAGCATCTTTCTGGGTGCACGACTCGATCTGTTCCTCGACTTTTTCAACTCGCCCTTGAACGTCAATGATAGATTCCTTAATAATTCGAATTAGCATAAATCAGTTTCTGTAAGACTGAGAGACACCTCACTTTCGGAATATTGGACACAAACTTTAGCATCTGTTTACTGAGCTTGTCTCCCACGAAAAGCATAACCTATAACAATGCGCATTCACACTATACAGGAGCCATCTGACCGAAAACTAACCTGAGCAGTGTAGAAACGTTGCCTAAGAACCAAGAAACAAGTTTTACCCTTCGTTCGAATGGTGTGCACTCGTCCTCTAACCCATATCTAAACCATCGTGATGAGAAAACAATGCTTGGCAAACCTTCCTATCTTTTGCCCAAAAAAGCTAACGAGCTGGTCATGTTGATATTGAACGTGGAATTACTTAATGCATGAACTGCTTCACAAAATGACCCCGCTTCTACATACAGAAGTTTGCAAAGCTTTTGATTATATTAATAGAAGCTTTGGATGACAAATTCACAAACGTCGAGTTTGCCGACCTGCTGGCTTTACACCAGAACACGGCCTCGGTTTAGAAAAGATGTCTTACGCAAGAACTACATATGGCCTAGCCTATGGAAAATGCATTCAAAGTTTGATGCCTTTATACCGAATATTCCAAATTCTTGGCAAAATAAACCTACTTTTTGTAACTATGGAAATTTTTACTATACTCTTACTTATCTACTTTACGATAAAACGTGTGTGGGATACCCGAGGTGTTGCTATAGAGGGTTGCTACTACAAAACATCATATAGCTCAAAATGTCTGTGCAAATGCATTGTGGAGTCATCCCTAAAATGAATTGCATGTTTGAATCGACTCCATTTGGATTTGCTATAAACATACTCAATCGAAAATGTCTGATAAGAGCTTTCGCAACCGCTAAAGCAAATACGATTAACTGCCAAAGAAAAACGGAACCTCCTCCTACAACCCTACAACAGCGGAGAATTATTTTAGATTACGCGCTGGCCCGCAAAGCACTGACATCTGCGTCGCCATTTTTAACTTCATTAAACATAAGGCCCTGACCAGACTTCGCTCAAAAGCGCTTGAAAGCGCTCAAAAGCGCCCAAATTTCTCTGGCCTCTTCACTTTCTCGTGTGAGGAGAGATGAGAGAGAGTGAAGAGAGGTCAGAGAAGTTTGGGCGCTTTTGAGCGCTTTTGTGCGCTGTTGAGCGAAGTCTGGCCAGGGCCTAACACGGCCGCATATGCGGCAACACGAATATTTGTTGCTCGCGAGTTCAGAGCATGTAGACAAGGAAAGAAAAGAAAAGCATAAACTTGTAATGTAAACATCTAAACCAAAAAAATCACCAATAACCAGGTAGAAACGGGGAAGAAAATTACCTCCTGACCATGAATTTCCGCGCTGATCTTGCTCAGTGTAGTAAAGACTACGTCCTTCTTGTCAGCAGACTGTATCATACCATAACTTCCATACATCCCGACTGAAACATCTTCAGCCTCATTCTCCTTGGTTTGCGATTGATTCTGTGCTGCTTTCTGAAGTGCTGTTGGAGAAGAAGTCTCAAAGAATAACAGAAAAAATAACCTACCTGAGCTTTCAATTCTGCTATCTTGGCTGCCTTAGCTAACTTGTTCAGCTCTTTTTTAGAAAGTTTTTTCGCGCCTTCTTCTGTCACATCATTCAATTCCTTCTCATCCACAGCGGCAGACATTATCACCCTGAAAAGCTAAAATTCTCCAGAACAATATGCGAAAAGCAATATTAGATAGCATTTCGGGTTTTGCGAATTACTCATCACTAAACAACGGTCTATATCTATATGAATTTTGAGAAATTCCCTTGCATCAAATAGCCGCCGCATCTTCATGATACCCTCAAAAAGAGGAAAAAAAGATACGGAACTGAATGATGCAACGGCACAGAGAACGGCTGCGAAATTGCAGGCTGGCGATAGCGAACGCCAATAAAATGCGTCAGCCGAGTAGACTGCATCTGCGCCAATCTGAGCCTATCGGCGCATTTCGCGCTACTCGTGGTCGATAATTTAGCGGAGACGGTAGCCGATGCCTCCATTCTGGCCAGCGGCCGAACCGAGGTTCATTTGCTCCATTGTTGAGCTAATCTGTAAAGGAAGTTCTCTCCATATGCCTGCAATTCAAGTTCGAGGCTTTTGACATCATCGAAAGCGCGTTTGCTGAAGGCAAGTGCCAAAACTTTCCATTTTGGAGTTTTCTCTTTGCTTTGATTCTTTACTCATCTGTACATTTCATTCTTGCTTTCGAATCTTTCATGGTGTGTTTTTGAGTCGAAATCCCAACCGAAATTCGCTTAGTACCCATTTTTTATCCTTAATCACATTTTTTTTATCATTCGCATTATCTCCTCCACTATTTTCGCCGCTTTCTTTATCTGCATTTGTTTGACATTCGTGAATCAGTGCAGACAACGGTCTTGTTTTGCATTGACTGTTTTGAAGCGCCTCGTTTATCATTGTTGCGCCAGTTGAATTCGCTCCTTCCGCTCGCTTCATCAAACGGCGGAACATGGTCAGCAGTATAAACAAGCGCTTTTTCAGTTCCCGTCTTCCGCTATACTCTAGAATTCTTTTGTAATTCGCTGTATAAGTCTCTCGTTTTCGCTCTTAAGTTTTTCAATAAATTCCTGTAAAGTCTAAGGCCCTGGCGAGACTTCGCTCAAAAGCGCCCAGAAGCGCCCAAAAGCGCCCAAACTTCTTTAACCTCTCCTCACTCTCTCTCATCTCTCCTCACACGAGAAAGTGAAGAGACACCAGAGAAATTTGGGCGCTTTTGAGCGCTTTTGGGCGCTTTTGAGCGAACTGTGGCCAGGGCATAACCATACATATGGTTCGTCCCCCAGAATTATTCCCATATGAACCACGTGGTTGTCTTTCGATCATTTTGACATGTCAACTCCGAATAAGCGCCTTAAATTTGCTGGAGTTAACGTGTTAAGACGATCGAAAGGCAGCCACGTTGATGGTTCTTATGAGAGCAATTCTTTGAGATGCACGATTTGAATGTATTTGGCATATAAGAAATGAATTCGATTTTGTGTTGTTTTCACTTGTGCATAATTTTAGATCGCTCACTGATCTCGAATATCAGATGTGCTGAAATAGTTTTTTGGTTATTTGAATTTTTCTAAGTCGATATACACTAACCATGCACCTACATCTTATTCACGGATACGATTTTTCTTTCTCTTTGTCACGAGTGGCTTTTTTCTCGCAGCAGTTCTTTGCAGTCCTTCACAATTTTTTATTTCTGATTTTTTGCTGCTTGCTTTGCTTTCCAGTTATGACGCACATCACTGCTAGGGTCTTCTTATCTGATTCTAATACTTATTTATAACTCATCGTCTTTGGCCCACTCTTCACGCTGACATTTAAAAAAGGCTAGAGAGGATTAGTCATAATATTTTCATTGACATGCCATGTGACTTTCTGCAGAACACAGATCTTCTATAGTCATTTGACTTTTGTTGCCGACAAAAACCGCAATCTTGAGTTTTGACGTAATCCTTATCTGCTCAAAACATAAGTTGACGATTGAAGACAGGGTTTAACTAGACGCTTCTTCAAATGCTGATTTCAAACCTGCTTTCCTTTTCTTGCGGAACTACATTCCGGAAAAAGTTATGAGCGTTCGGATGTTCAAACTTGTCAGCTTCAGGTAGCCTAAAATTAGCGAAAAGCATAGGCTCGATGGGGTGAGCCGGGTACCCTCTAAGGTGGGTGTCTCGGCTGATTCTGACCCTCAAAAGTGAAGCGTGTCTAAAAAGTGCCGACGTCGAGCGGGGGGGGGGGGGAATTCTTAAAAAATGGTGAAAATCATAAAATTATCCGATTCAAATAATCAAATCTTCTAAAATGGATTTGTATGCATTTTTAATAACTAGTAAAATGTTTACAATGTTTGTTCTCGATATTTTATTAATATCATTTTATTTTTATATTCCGTTTTTCGGTTAAAAGATGCATGTTTAGGTGGGTCGAACGTGTAATGTTGTAAAATGAAAGAATACAGTGTACAATGAAATAATTTTTTGCTCAATTGTGTCCACTTGGAGCAAAATAAACGTATAGAGTGTAGCAATATGATAAGAATATATAGTAACACACACATAACGCATAACAGCAAGTTATACTAATTCAAAAGCTGACCTTTTTTAAATATCATCGACATTGTGATTTCAACATTACTGCTCTAGAAATTTCTCCTAACATCATTTATACTACTCTTATCGCTGTGCTACACTTTCCATGTTTATTCTGTTACAAGTGAGCACATTTAAGCAACAGATTTTTTTATTATACTCTATGGATACTATTAATAAGAATTTATTTGCAGCAATAATTTCATGGTCATCGCGAAGTCTCATATTAACATTATCCACATTTGTAAGTTCCAGACAAAAATGTCCATTAGCGCCTTTCAAGGCTTTGAGTATCTGCCGCTGTCCATTGCCCAGGGTCGAAATCATATTACAACACTTCAAGTTCGTACCTCATAAAAATGTATTTTTTTCATTTTACATTCTTGATTTTCCGTGCACTACTTCCTCACCTTCAGCTTTTGCTCACCCTATCGCACCTATGGGGTTTTTTAAGAGATTTTCGCTAATTTCAAGCCACTTAGTTCTTAACAAATCTGGACATTCAAACGCTTATAACTTTTTTCGGAGGGTTGCAGCGTTTAGAGACGCGTCTTTTGATAAACATATCGTCTTCAGTCGCCAACTTATGTGTCTTTGTCAGGTATGTTTGCATGGTAAAAATTTAGAGAAGCTCCCAAAATTGTAAGGTACGCATTTCATCCTTTAAATAATCTTCAACACAATATCTTAATACATTTGTATCTGATGAGTTTACTCAAAGTGATGCGGCTTCCCTTTTTTCCAAGACAAACTAGTGTTTAGAGTGACTCAGCAACTGTTTTTCGAAGTTATGTCAAGAGATATGAGTCACTAGAATGTAACAATACTATTTTCGTGATACATACCAGTTCCATGTCAGTCTCCTGGTAAAGTTTTCCAAAAGTTTTGATAAAATGGTTCTATCTTATGTATTTCTTAACAGAAGTAGATGCAAAGGTGGCATGTAGTCTTCTATGCTCTTATTTCACATTTGTGTTCGTTTCGTCATTCTTTCCATTCATTTCTTATCGATGTTAGCAAGAGGTATATTGATTTCGGTGGCTTTTAACACATCAATGAATAGCTCCTAGCTCCTTTCTTTTATACGCCTTCGAAGTATTGCCATTGAAATTTATGACACCCACCGTGTCGTTCCGCTACGTGGCGGTTTCTGCTAGGTATTCTCCATAGCATCCCTAATTCGCTTATAACACCAGTATTAAAATATTTACGAAGGCAATTCGTCTTTTTTTTTCGACGATTCAATCTGGAACGGCAATAAAAAGGCCAACATTAGTTCTTGCTACTGAGTTTGGCAACTCCAGATTTTTTTCGGGAAGGCAGGAACTTTTTCAAATGAGGTGGCATAGCGTTAGCCATGCCCTCTCCTATAACTTTAGAATATTTTATGATCGATTCAAAGATCTCTGTAGATGTTTCAGTTAACTAAAAGTGAAAACAAGTCACCTGCGCGTATCTATAGGTCATGCAGAGTGTTTTCACAAATTTTCTCATTCACTTTCGAAGGAGGCGGCGCTTCCCTCATCCCCAGTCTGCTACCGGTTGGTTTATTTCAGTACTGCGCACGTAACAATCCACCACCTCTTTGAAAAATTCAGAAAAATTGGAGTCGATTTTTTATTGGCCGCGTTACCTTTTGACTTCCGTTTGAGATTTTAAGATTAATTTTCTAGAGCTTATACCGTAGTATTTATAACAACATACATCCGTGGCTTATCTCTTACCACCATGTACAAGTGGCGGGTCCAGGATTTCGGAAAGGAGATGGGCAACAAAATTACTGTTCGTTTCTTCTTATCTTACTTCTTTTGTATATGAGGCTGGAAGACTGGGCTTCGCTCGATTCTCGGTTTTTCTCCCTTCTGACTTCCCAGCTTAGCCATTTCGCTTGTGCTCCCTTCTAGCCTACAATTTACGTCTCTCTTTCAAAAACAACTACCATGACAAAAGCAATTAAAATCACCGTCACCGTTGCGCATTTCCGGCACATTAGAGCAAAAAGTGAGAAAATCAGTCAGTAGAAGTAATCCATGACTCCCATTCAATCCCTATTGCAGCTTTGGTGCCCCTAACGTGCAGTTATCAGTCATTGGGGGGTAGCCGATATTTCTTTGATGATTATTATAGCCGTATAGCAGCTCATACATCATCTCACATCGGTCTTCAGCTGAAAAAATGATGTATTATGAATTGGTAAGTATTATATGTGCCCTGATTACTGGGCTCTCTGTAGTATTTAGGCTTAAGAGCTCGATCTAGATCGCGAAAAATGAACCCCAGTATAAAAAATAAATATAGGGACTGATCTATTATATTTCATGAGTCACAATTTTTCGACACTACATCTTTTTTCATTCTGTTCTCGTGTCGACGTCTGAACACGCCACTGTTTTTCTACTCTGTAATTCGCTCAACAAACATACATACTTTGAGACTTATTGAATTCAGGCATTGCGCTCGAAGATGTCATCGAAGAAGAAAACACCACGAACCCTAAAAATCAAGGGAAAGGGCAAAGTTCTTGTGCCGAAATGGAAACTTTTCCGTGCCAAGGTCTGTTGTAACCCTCCAATTCTGTGATTTTGTTTTTGTCATCAACATCTTATAGGAGCCGTTACTTTCCGTATTTATGTGGGGAGTGAATCACTCTATAGGCCAGCTGGACCACGTGCCTCCACCGGGACTGCTTATGCCTGACGATTTCAAAGCGTATACCAAAGTGAAAATAGACAATCATTACTTCAACAAAGATATTATGCCCAGTCATTATAAGGTGATTTGCTTGCTTTTTTGTAGTTTTAGTGAGGAAACCAAGCTTTCAAGGTAAAAGAGTATTGTCCCAATGTGTTCCGAAACCTACGAGAACAGTTTGGCGTTGACTCAACAGAATATCTACGATCTTTGACCGCATACGAGCCTGAGCCCGACCTGTTAGATGGATCAAAAACTGGTGCTCCTCCAAGATTATTCGTATCTTATGACAAAAAATTCGTAATTAAGGTAATTTTCAAATTGTTCCTTTATTCTTGCTATGCATAATGGATGGCACATTACAGTCTATGGATTCCGAGGCTGTCGCTGAATTACATTCAGTACTACGAGATTACCATGAGTATGTTGTGGAAAAGTTAGGCAAGACGTTGTTGCCCCAATACTTGGGTTTATATAGGTAAGCTTACGGAAAATATAAGTTTTTCCTTTGAACTCTTTGTTCTGTGATCTTCGCTGTTCATTGGCCTCTTTTTTTTTTCAAGCGATGATTTGCAGACTCACCATCGAGGGTACCGAAACTTATCTTATAGTAATGAGGAACGTTTTTGGACGAAAGTACAATGTTCACACAAAGTTTGACCTCAAGGTAGGTGCATTTCGCTCTTCAGTAAGGTTTGAACTGTGCAGGGTTTCATACGGTTCTTACCGCTCTTTTAGGGTTCAACTGTGTCCCGCCTAGCATCGGAAAAGGAGAAAAATAGAGAGGTGCCTACACTCAAAGACAACGACTTCCTTGAAATGAATGAGAAGCTAAGCCTTCCTGAGGTATGCAAAAGTGCATGTTGCTGTCTGCGCTTCTTATTCGGTGGCGGAAGTATGTTTTGTTTAGGAGACTCGTCGTCAGTTATTGGAAATGTTAGCTGATGACACTGCGTGGCTTTCCAAGATGCATCTTATGGATTACTCGTTGCTTTTAGGTCAGAACTTGGTTGTCAATATCGAGAGTTGTTCATCATATGATTTTAGGTATTCATGATTGTGAGCGAGCTGCTGAAGAAGCTGCCAAGCGTCCAATTGAGCATACGAGCGAAGAATCTGCCGACGAACTTTGTCCAACTCCACCTGATTCTCCAATACCGTCGACCGGCGCTTTCCCACCTCTCTCCGGCGGTCCGGATTTGGATGACGAGTACTACGCTATCGCAAGCCATCCTGGTAGGATTCTTAAAATATACTCTCGTTGCAGTCCTAATTCATGAGATCTTTATTAAGACGCGCCAAAGAAACTGATTTACTTTATTGGACTTGTGGACATTCTTACCTACTATGGAGTGAAGAAGCGCACTGCCACAGCTGCGAAAACGGTCAAGTACGGATCAGACGCAGAAAATATCAGCACTGTTAAACCGGACCAGGTCAGCGCATTAAGTTTTCACCATCAGCATCTACCCTGTTTTGTTATTGAAATCTATTTAGAACTTAAGTCTGGCTTGTGCGCAAGTAAAGTTTGAGCGACAGTAAACTGATATTCTTTCACTTACTATCTTTTTTCTTCATTTCATCGTCCCCGAGCAAACAATTAGGTCATATCTGATGTAAGCATTTTGTAGGTCTTTTGCTGGATTGCCACAGCCGAGTTCATACTAAAATGAACTGAACGGATTTTTTTGCCACTTTCATAGTCAGCTTTCAGCGCGTTCATGTATCCTCGGAGGCGCTCATTATTCTTCAAAAGCACTATCGACTAGCACGAACAAATTATTGTTCATTTTGACAGTTTCCAGTCTTGTGTAGATGCAAAAGTACTGCGCGAACAAATATATCCTATAACAAATCCTGAACATTATACAAACACTAGTTTTCAAAAGCAGTGCGAGTTTGGACCTTATGTAAACACAGTTCTTTTCAAACACACTACAAAGTTTGTTCACCAAGTTGGTCAGGTCTCATAGGGAGACACTTTTGAGGCTGGAAAATTTTTCAGCGGGGATCCTGAGGAAGTTTCAGGAATTCTACCATCCAAAAGACATAATTGCGAATCATCTTAAACAGCAAAAATCTTTAAAAAATTATCTTGCTTACGCAAAATTTGGTTTATCGAATACCATGGAATATTTGTGCTAACTCGGTGGACTTCTATCTCTCAATGTATTGTTCTAGTATGCTCGGCGTCTTGTGGATTTCGTGACGAAAGCGGTAACACCCGGAGCGTGAGCTCTCATTCGATTTGGAGCCGCATAAGAGGTCAGCTCCCACTACACGACCTGCCTCACAGTCTGTTCTTCTATGGTTGTTTCTACTCGTGTTCTGCTTATCTGATTCTTATTCCATTCGTATTTATATATTGTGTCTGTCTTAAATTCCAGTGCTTTTGTGATAGAGTGTTGCTTGCAATTCTCTCTTTGCTGTGCATTTGTTGCCAGTGGAGTAGACGTTTCTTCCTTAATTTGAGGTCTGTATTCTATTCTCATCCACCATCGAGAGTATTTCGAGACTTTTCATCAATTTGTAGCAATCGCTGCTAATTTTGTAAATATCTATGCGTGGCAGCAAAGTTTCGCAGCAAGAAACTTATTTATTTTGACTCTAAGCTAACATCCTTCGATTTGCATATTTCCAAAGATAGTAGGTAATAACTTAGAACTTGGCAGTAATGTTCGACGATAATTTATGCTTCCTCCCGCAAGTTCACTCCTCATTCACTATTTGTTGTTAAATCTATTCAATGGCCGATTAAGGCTCAGATCTTTGTGTTGGATGTTAATATCGTGTAAGTTTTTGAAGTCATAATTTTTCTAAGCGGCCAAAATTGTGCACTACAATCCGATAATTTTTGTTTAAAACATCTAATCTGAATTTCCGGTTGTTATAAGACATCATTCTCTTGATTTTGCGGTGCTGAAATGAAAGAATGTGTACTTTGGCCTGAGCAACGCTGCAACGGCTGCCCCCGCTTCGGCAATGTCCTGAACGCCTGCTTTCCACTAGAAATTTTTGTGTTGTATATGACTTTGTTATGAAAATCTTGATAACACTTGCTATGTTTATTGTGTTGTAATCGTGCGCTCCTTCAATAAAATTTTGTACACTGATCTATTTTACTTTAGTTAAAGAGTAACTTCTGTAGATGTACCTTATACCTTGGTATCCATGCGGGGCGTAGTATACATCTATGCCGAAGTTATAGGATTGAAATTATGGAGGAAACGGAGAAGGTAAAGGTGGTTGTAAGATGCCGGCCCATTTCGCAGCAAGAGATCAATCAGGGCCATAAAGTGGCCGTTCGAGTATCTACAGAGGATAATTCGGTCATTTTGGAGCAACTAAATGGAAAAGAGGTGTGATTTTGCGAAATGACCATATATATGATTTTTTTTCTTGAAGTCTGGCCTTTTTCATAAAGTTAATTTCATTTAACATCGTTTGCTTTCTTATATACATTGCGAAAAATGCACGTAAAGGTTGTTCGAGAGTCTGCCACATTTATCGAAGCTTTAGGAGCCCCGAAGGACTTTCTTCTTTGATGCTGTTTTTCCTCCTGACTGCGATCAAATGCGAGTCTATAACGTCGCTGCGAGACCGATCGTGGAAAATGTGCTGAAAGGTTATAACGGTGAGTAATTATCACGCATTGTTTGTGTAACGTTGATTTTTTTTGATGAAAAAGAAGTAATGTAGATCTAATCGGAATGTAAATCTTTAAACCTCTAAGTGGATGCGAGTAATCGTTCTTATTGTTAGTAAATTTCTTACCTACTTAGGTACTATCTTCGCATACGGGCAAACTGGCACAGGGAAAACGTTCACTATGACTGGAGATTTGGAGAGAGCTGAGTTACAAGGAATTATACCGAACTCTTTCGCTCATATTTTTGACCATATTGCAAAATGTCAGCAAGACAAAACGTGAGTATAAGTTATTTGCTTTGCTTGCTTATTTCAAGAAACCGTTTAATTTTAGTTTTCTCGTTCGTGTGTCATATCTGGAGATCTACAATGAGGAACTGCGAGACTTGTTAGCAAAAGATGGACACGGATCAAATCTTGAGATCAAAGTAGGTTTTTTTTCTTTTGTATAACACGGCGATGCCGCACTCAAAGTCTATCTTCAAAGTTTGCTACTATCGTACTAGTGCAGCTCTATTGGTTAACTTATTCTTAGCGGCTTTTCTTGGTGTGCGAATTCTAGTTAAATAATTGTTGAAGGAAGTGGAATTATTTGGGAATTGTTTCGCGAACTGGAACGAAAGCATACTTGAGATTTAAAAGACAAAACTGATTCAGCGTAAGCGTCAGCATTTCTTTTCAGGAGAAAGCGGATGTTGGTGTGTATGTGAAAAATTTGATCTCAATCATTGTTGGAAGCGCTAGTCAGATGCAAAAACTTATGGAATTTGGTAGCAAAAATCGTAAGTTTCCTCTATCAATTTGCTGAACATATATATGAGTGACCTCGGCTTCTCTGATAAATTTTCTACTCTCGAAAACATGTTGAGGTAGAACGACGAAAATCCCGTGTTTTAAGGAAAAACTGGTGCTACAAAAATGAACGAAGAGAGCAGTCGGTCACATGCGATGTTCTCAGTGACAGTTGAATCAAGTGAGAATGGTATGGTAACTCAAGGGAAACTTCATCTGGTCGACTTGGCCGGAAGCGAGCGACAAAGTAAGACTGGAGCACAGGGCGAACGGTTGAAGGTACTTCATTTTTTATCTTTTTTCTATAGCTAATAGTTTCTGGCAGAATTCTTGTGTGAGGCTGTAAGGCGAAAGCGGTTTTGTACTCAATGAAATTTTTGGCTCTGTCCGGTCTGTTTGGACACCAAAGTCTTCAAAATTCAGAAAACTTGTTTTCTTTTATCTCTTTTTTTCGCGTATTGTATCTACAGTGTGGGTGGTAATGATGCATTTGAATTGCTTCAGGAAGCTGCCAAAATCAATCTGTCTTTATCCACACTTGGTAACGTGATTAGTGCACTGGTGGATGTGAAGTCGACTCATATTCCGTATAGGTTCGTTTCTATACGGCATTCTGCTTTCGTAACTTATCGATTTTCGCATGAATCCTTGTCCGTTGCCACATATACTGCATTTAGAAACTCCAAATTGACTCGACTACTGCAAGATTCACTTGGCGGAAATTCAAAAACTGTCATGGTAAATTTTTGCTTTTTGATGCATTGTGTTTAAGCACGAACAATGTTTTGTAGATTGCTAACATTGGTCCTGCATCATACAATTACGATGAAACATTGTCAACGCTGCGTTATGCAAACCGTGCAAAGAATATTCAAAATGTCGCCAGGATTAATGAAGATCCAAAAGATGCACAATTACGAAAGTATCAACATGAAATTGAGATGCTGAAGAAGCAGTTGGCAGGTGAGATCTGATTAGCACATTTATGAAATCTAGTTTGTACAGAAAAGTTCTGATTCAATTTTTTGGTTTCTTGCGTTTCAATTTGTTTTTACAAATCTGTAGATTTTTAGCGATATGGAACGCTAATTCCACATCACTTGAGAGAAATTATTTTTCAGGGGGAATTTGTTATTTAACCACCTTTCATGACATCATCTTTAGAAGAAGAAGCCGACATGAATTCTGAAAATGAGTCCACTTGGGAGTTGCGTATGCAGGAAATGGAACAGAATCTAGAGAAGACTCGAGAGGAACTTGCCGGTAGGGACGTCGAGGACGAAGAGACGAGGAAATTGGTGCAGCAGATGTTAGATAGGTTGGTAGAAAATTTCTTAGCCTCAAAATTTACCTTTTTACGAAAATAATGGATCAAAGTAATTCTAGGGAGGCAGAACTAAAACGAGCAAGAGCTGAACATGCTGAATTGCGTGCCAAACTGAGTCAAATGGAAAGCAGGCTAATCATTGGTGGAGAAAATATGTTGGAAAAGGCAGAAGAGCAAGCAAGACTTCTAGAGGAAAGCAATCGGTAAGACAAATCATCAGAGTCGCCACTTGCTGTAAAATTTATTCTATCGTTCATCTTCAGCGAGCTAGAACTGTCACGAACACATGAATCTCGGTTGCGTGACCAGTTGAAGGAAAAAGCAGCAGCCAGAGAGGATATCGAAGAGAAGTGCGTTTTAGAATCTTAAATACTTTGATGCAAGTGTTCTTTCTAGATATTCTTCGTTACAAGAAGAGGCAGCCGCCAAAACCCGTCGCTTACGTCGTGTTTATAATGAGTTGTGCGAAGTTCGAACAGAGCTCGCTGATTCTGAAGCAGAGCATCAACGAGAAGTCGAGGGTCTTCTTGAAAGCATTAGGCAGCTGAGAAAGGTTTGTTTTAGCTTTTTTTTCTCAGTGGAATAGTGAGCCTTCACATTTCTGCATCAGTCAATCACTTTTTCTTTTTGAGTTCTATTCAGTTAATTGGTATTATGATTATGGTAGCTTAACGAAATTTTCCGTTGATTGATAGTTGTTTTTACAGGAATTGCTCTTGAACATGACGATTATCGATGAGTACATTCCTCCTGATTATGTTGAACTCATAGAAAAATACGTGAGCTGGAGCGAAGAAATGGGAGATTGGCAGTTGAATGCTATCGCCTATACTGGTAACAACATGCGAGCTTCAGCCCCTCTTCCCATACAACCATACCAGGTACAGAATTGACTGGAGACTTATCTTCTCTACTATTGAAAATTCTTACATTGTTTTAGCTCGACGCCAACCAGTCAATTCCACTATTTTATTCGTATAAAACAGATTTGGGAGCAACTTCGACTGCTTCAAGGCCTCGTACTAGAAGCGGCAAAAGGTATAAGATTATCGCTTATGTTATGCCGTAATCTTCGTCTGTTTTCAGGGAACGAAATGCTGCGAAGTTGAAGACCTTGCTGAGTTGACCCCTGATCAGTATACTGTATGTGAGAAGGATCTCGAGCTAGGATTTTTCACATTTGTTATCATTGATCTTTACTGACCAACATGTCCTTTCTGTCTGTAGCACTTTTCGTGCAGATCTGGTGGTTGTGCTAATCCATGTGCTGATCTGCGCAACACTTTCTGCCTAGTAAGGTGCACCTGTGAACGGCGATCTGCTGTGATCATACCTTCGATAGTCTAGAGACAGGGCGTCAAAAGTGAAGGTTGTTTGAACATCTGACGTCATAAATAGTGAAGGTTGTTTAAAGATGATCAGAGAAGAGAAAATGACATAAAACAGATACAAAAAGCAAAAGAAACTGCTGAAAATAGGATAAAAAGCTGCAATGAGGCTTGTAATCTTTCATTCGGCGGCTTTTAAAAGTGCAAGTTTTCGCTCCAGGACCAGCAATTCGCAACACGGGGTTTTGATTTTTGATGCGTCCTTTGAATTTTTACCCCCGCATTGACGTTCCTGTTTCCTGGGACGTTGTCTGGATTGTTGCGCTTATTGTTCTGAGGAACAATCGCCCAAGCTGGAAAAAAATCGATGCGAAAGCACTGAAACAGAACAAGGTAAAGAAAAACGCACTTTTTACGATTTTTCGCAAAAAAATCCACAATAATCGAAGAGATAAAGGCTGGGCGGTTGTCTGCATTATGAACAGAAGCAAGATCTATAGAATGCACGAAAAAACGGGGTAAAAAGAGGTAAACTAGAAGAAAAACAAGAGATTTTCGAAAACAAGGTTTTTGCCGGATTTCTCGTTCAAATCAAGAAATGTGATTTTGGGACGTTGTCAGCGTGAAAAAATAGATCAAGAGCTTCGAAATGATATATAGCTTGCTAAAATTGGGTTCGAAACAGCGAAGAAAAGGGTACCAGAGCCAAATGCCCCGCGCCCCTCGCTTGGGGTAGCGAGGTAGCGCGCAGCGCGCGGAGACGCAGACGAGCAGCGGAGACAGACCAGAGCCGACGGGGCATTTGGCTCTGGTCGTAGATCTCGTCGGGATCTCAACGAAACCCTGTAACATTGTATATCATTCTGACCGTCATGACACGACGAGGAGAACTGACAACGTCCCAAGCTTTAAAAGTCACTTACTAACGAGATAGACCAGCATTTCCGTGCGCGACTCTCTGCATACAATTAAGCGCAGTTTCTCATTTTAAATCAACTCCAACAGCTTTCCAAACTTTTGAAACTCATTTTTGGTCAAGTAAGAGGTTAACTGAGGAACGTTGTCCTGAATTCTGAGGAAATTTTCACGGAAATTCTCTTTTCAGCGTAAAAAAGGCTTCAAAAAAGCAATTTCTCGGTTTCGCTGAGACATTCTTCAGATATTCTTTCCTATATTTGGTTCATCACATTCTTCCGATAAAGTCAGGATAATAACATCCGGGACTTCGCCCCGGATGATTTCTGTTTTTTTCCCAGGTGAAGGTTGTGTCCCCTCATAGCCCTCAAAGTGAAGGTTACCAGAGTATGTGGTTCTATGTATCGAAGGTATGGCTGTGATGATTGATTGCGCGGGACTTTCGTGCACAACGTGTACTCCATACTTGGGCGATAAAACCTTTATTTTTGGAAGCTAGCATATCCGGCTCCGCCTGGCCCTTTCAAACACTATTTGAAAGGTCACCATCTCTATTCTTGTACAACCTTTTCCTGTGTCCACTTCTACATACCCACTCCCTTTCCCCGTTTTGTCTTCGTAATCAGCATGCCCACTTACCCCTCCCCCCCCCCCCCTTCCCGCTGTGCCAACTCATAGCCATTAGCTCAAATTGTTTAGAAAACGCACGATAAAATCGTTTAAAGTCAAAGATAATTCCAAGACTAGATATTGTACTCGTAATCAGCATGCTCACTTACCCCTCGTGCCAACTCCCAACCCCGTAGCTCAGTAAGTGTAGCGACGCGGAAGCTGCTGTCGGACTCGTTGACGAGTACAGTACCAGCGTAATAGCTTATCAAATATAGCGAAGCACGATGATGATGAGATACAAATGTAAGTCCACGTGTGGTAGAAGGGGATACTGGTTGACTGCATCAGCGGGAGACGTGGAGACTCGTGGGGAGACGGGAGGCCATAGGATTGTAGAGGCTCGGTGCTGGGCATGTCAGCGCTCAGATAATCGCGGGGGGCAGGCTGTCCGCAAACTCGCGCTTTTCTGCGGGCGGTCAGCAGAATTTTGGGGCGTGGCCAAACTTTCAGCGGGCGGCACTTTCTTTACGGTGCATACTCTGCCAGCGGGCAGCAATACAACATTTTTTGCAAGCGCTCGGCAAACAATTTCTTTGCGCTCGGACTCTTTTTACGCATTTTGGGCATGCATCGAGCACAGGTAAGACTCTGTGTGGCAGAGGTGTCACCGTTGGTTTAATTACTCAAGTTTGAGCTACTTCCTCTCAGCGGAAAGCACCTGGGGGCTGCGCGGTTCTCCACAAAGGACCGTGCGGCCCCCGGAAATCTTGCATATTCTCGAAAGTCCCCAAGAATGTGGCCACTGCGCCGCAGCTAACCGCGATTGTTCTCCAAGCATTCGTCTAAAATTTCGCTAAAATTATTCCAAATTTCTGCAAGCAGACCGCAAGAAATCAGCGAACTATTCTTCCGGTGCGCGCTTGTTCAAAATTCGTATGGCCGCATGCCCCGGCGATTATCCGAGTGGGTGCTCGCGGTGGCAGTATATACCGTACTGCGGAATGCATATCGTCTTCATAACTGTAAGAGTTGATCTTATCACAACATACTTTATTATTGTCATTTTTTTTTTGGTGGGAACGTACGAGGGGGCCGCCTATAACATAAGAGAGTGGAGTATTGACAATATTCGGGAAACAATTGCTCATCGTCTGGCGATGTAGGAATCGGACGAATGGCGTGTAGGGGGTGGCGGTGAAAAGAAAAACGCCCTGGGCAGACGCCCTGGTAGGGGATAAATTTTTGAATTTTATTTTGTTTGGGATTATGAAGAGTGCTGCCAACCACAAAGGGGGCGGAGCTGTGATGATCTTCGGGAACAATAGCTCCTCTCCGGCGATATAAATCAGAAAATTGGTGTGGACTGGGCAGGAGCTGCGTTGAAAAAAAAGAGGGCCGCCAGAGTAGGCGTCCTTTGGGGGACAAGACTTGGCCTTGATCTTGGCACCGTCTTTTCCATGATAAGACGTGATGTCCGGTGAAGGGGAATGGATCGGTGACGGGTTAAAACAGTGATTAGACGGCGAAGGAAATTTGATTCCACACGTAACAAAAACGTTGCTGTCGGCATAGTCAATGCGCCTTGGGTTAGGAAAAAAATTAATGTGCCTGGTAGACATCCCGGTAGGAGATAAAGGGGGTTGCTTGGCCTTGATTTGGGCCGTATGCTGTGAGAAAGCGACGTGCAAACTCTCCACTTTTTCTCGGGCGGCACTGAAACCAAAGGGAGAGCAACTGATCATTAGCTGCTGTAGAAATACATTTCTCGGCCGATGCACCAGTTGTTTGCACTTTATGCGCTGTGTATAGATATCGATTGAGTGCCACGCGGGGGATAGAGGACTATATTCGCCGAAAAAGGGCGGTCCTCGCGGTCATTTGCGACAAATACGCACCCTTGTACATGCGCGGACATGCGTTCCTGCACGGAATCCGCGCGGGACTCTTCCAAATTCGGCGACATATAGTCCTCCACCCCACGCGGGACTTTCGTGCACAGCGTGTACCTCAAACTTGGGTAGTTAAACCTTCATTGTAATACTATTAATACTACATAAGCGACTACGAATTGTGGATAACGCTAATATAATGCTAATAATACTACTAGCACGACTATATAGGGTTAGACAAAAGTTAACTTTCTGTAAGTGCTGTGGTACTATGATTATTCTGTGACCCTGTGATTGTTCTGTGCGTTAGTAGAGAAGCGAGCTATAGAACTCAGGCAACTAAATGGCTAGCATGGTGCCCAGCTTATATATGCGATGAGACATGAACAAACTCCTAGGAATCTTTTGATAAGCTAACTGATAACAAATGCACAAACATAAGCTGTGGAAAACACAGCTGATCGGCCGCGCTAGGCTACTATTCTTTGAGCGCGGCAAATGGATACGAATGCGAATAATTCGTATAGTAATCGGTAATTCTAAAAACTAATATTGCATTGGCACAGGGGTAATCGGCGGCCCGCTTACCCCCTGTGCCAGCTCCCAACCACGTAGCGCAAACCTCGCCAGAAACCGATAAAAATCGATAAAATCGACTTGATGAATGACGAAAAGTACCCTATAACATCCGCCTCGCCCAAAACTGTATGTGTGCGAAGTTTGGTCTGGAGTAGAAATGAAAATTTTTATCCTGCACATACGTACATACAGACATATAGGCCACTGCATGACGAAGGCGCAGTATCGGCGATTCAAAACACGCAAAGACTGGGCGCCGCTGCATCCGACCAAGATAGCTGGTGCTTGGGAGAGACACCAGGTGGTAAGAGAAACGAAAGAGCGTGTGATCGGAGAGACACCGATACGTCCGCAACCTTTGCGTGCAACGAATCGCCTATACCTTTGGGCCGAACGCGGCTTTATTAGCCGCAGAGCGCATGGCGCAGGTTTACAACGGTGGAGATACGCGCGCATATGTGACATATGTGCAGGCAGTGTCCGGGCAGATATACGAGCACCTCAGTCTCCATAGATTACTGAAGGGGCTCCTAATGCAAGCCATAGCCAGTTGCGACTGCGAAGTATGGTTTTGAAGCGAGAAAATCGCTTCAGAAGCCATATTTCGTAGCTGGACAGAGACTCCTCGATTCATTCCGTCCTTACCATACCCGGAAATTGTGGCGAGACTGCTCGATGTCCTGCTTTGGTAAGGACGACACTGAATCGAGGAGTCGGTCTTTGGCATAGGTGATTCAAGAGCCTGTGGGTTGCTCTGAGGGGTGGGGTCTGTGAAGGGTCTGTGACTACACTGAGCAAAGCAACGAATTTCATAAAGTAAAATACAACGAGAGAAAAACTAAGTAATACGTGATTATGTTTACTATACTAACCACTTCTTGCTATATGAACGCTAAAAGCAAGCATGACAAGCCTATTGATGAGCTACCAAAGTCAAGAATCTGAGAGGAATCTTTGAGCTTTAGGTTAGATTCTGGCGTCACACATTCAACAAGCTGCAAAGAGTGATACGAGCTCCGCGTCGAAATTTCGCTACCCTCAACCTGGGTGGACAATTCCTTCAAGTGTTTCTCGAGAACTGATTTTTCGTTTCAGGCTTAACTCGCAACACCGAACATGCCTGAGATTTTTCGTCTTCATCACAGTTTGTATTTCTGCAATCTGGAAAAATCATTGTTATAAGGAATTTATCAAATTTCTTGTGATCGCGCATGACCCAAGTTTTTTATTCATATCATGAGCAATACATAGGCACCATGATCCCCGTAATCGCGTTAGTACAGAATAAGCAAACTTGTACATAATAGCACAATCACCTGATCACCATTTTAGGTGCCGAGCGGGCATGATCACATCTCAACGAATCATAATAGATTTGTTATCTCGTAGTTGATCTTCAGTGTACATTTTCTAGTCATTATCAATGTCTTTCGTTCATATTTATAGGTGACTCACCGTCTTTATTGAGCTTTATCCATGTATTGCTAGCATACAATAAAAAGTTTATGCACGTCCTGTACATCAGAACCTTCTTATAAATGTACGAAACGGCGGATCCCATCACATTGGGCGGCCTCCACGAATGCATTCGTGCAAGTGGCGGTGCAAATGGACAGCAGGCCGCTCGCAGCAGAACGCGGCACATGAGCCTTCGGTTCAGTTTTGCACATTTCTTTGTCGTTTTTCACCATGGTTGTTTGTTGATCTTTGTCTTTTGAGCACTTTCGTTTATCAAATAGACTATTTTGTTGTTGTCGAGCATTGTTTCCCACATGCTCGTTGCTTCAAGTCGAAATAGAAATAAGCCAGGGCCCCCAGCGCGCTTTGGTTTGCGGCATTTTTGAGAACGAATTCTCCCATGACTTCGCAAAGCAACGAAGTTCTCTTTGACGTCAAAATCAGCAGAAAAACATTTGTTCTATCAACGCCATCTATCAACACCACTATTAAAAAGCAATAAAGCTTCGAGGTTGTTAACACAACAAAAACATTTTGACCTCGATCAAAGCTTTCTTGGTGTGTAAAATGTCGAAAACCCGACCTGTAGAACAATATCAAGCAAATATTTAGCCTACTATTTAGTCTACGTATGCAAAGATGGACGGCAGGCATCACTATGATGGACCACGTCACTAAAGATACCATAAGAGCGAAAATTAACGTCGCCCCGATCATAAAGAAGGTACAAGAAAGGCGATTCGATGGTACGTACATGTTAGAAGTAGGGAGATCACGTGTCTAGATTAGCATCTATAGATGTCGCTGGAAAGAGACCTGGAGGAAGACCAAAATTAAGATTGATGGATAAAATTGTGGCAGACTCAAAAGAACTCAAAATTGATGAACATCAGGCTGAAGATCGTGAAAAATGGAGAAGACTAATAAAAATACTAGAGTAATGATGATGCACTGTTACGGTTCTTCTTGTTTGTAACATATGATCAACAGTTTTATTCTGTGTTTTTTTCTTAAGGGCCGGTCATACCGGTCAGCGATCCATCGAGTCGCTGACTTTCCCAAAGGACAAGTGTTACAAGGCCGGAGATAACTGCGTATCTGTGCTGGCTGTCCGGCGCGATGCATCGCGGGCCGTTTTCTGCCCGGCCATACCGATTTGAGCGAAATCGCCACGATCGTCGCTCATCCTAGCGAATTCGCGTCGCTCATTTCAAAAGCGCGACGCGATGGATCGCTAGGATTGGAAATTCCTTCCCGAAAGATTTTATGATGATCTTTCACTTTTTGAAACTAGTTTCTGGCCTAAGAAGTGAAAATGAATTTTGTATTGCACATTGCTTTGGTTTTCTTCAGGGATTTCTCTGCCGCTTGTTAACGATACTTGAAAACAAAATTTCAGGTTCATCGAAATTGTTGAGTCTCTCATCTATAATAAGGATTGTTGTTTCTCCATACTCGCTTGCTTTTTTTTCAGCAATTTTCAGGAATGCTAGAGTGAACGTGTATCATGTGATGTAGTGTTAGAATGCACACATCGTCGCGGTAGTATGCCCCCTTGTTCGAGCGACCACCGATCCGTCGCGCGTTTTCGTCGCTAGTTTCCACCCATTCGCGACGATCATCCATCGCGGCGATGGATCGCTGACCGGTATGACCGGCCCTTTATGGAACACCTAGCATATCAAGTGATACTGAGAGAGTAGAGCAAAACTCATATGCGTATTGTATTAGACAACAATGCAAGGATAAAATTTTTTTTTGCCTACAACAATTTGGCGGTGCAATTGCCGCGTAATTCAAAGGACGCCTTGACGCGCATGTGATTGAAGCGCGATATCTGCCAGTGCGTATGTTTATGCTAGGTTTGCATCAAAAAAGAGGAGGCAGTGGTTTAATGCGCTTTCTCAACATATGAGATTTTCGAGAGTTTGAGAGAGCGAGAGCGTTCTAACGGTGTAAATCTGAAAAGTCCAAAACTTATGTGATTTCTCCGATATACAGTGACCGCCAAAAAGTTGCGAACAAGCCGCCTTCCTTCATTCATCGCTCATTTTCGGATGGAAAACGAAGATGAAAAAATGATTGGATTGCATGGGGTGATAGAGCTCTTCAAGAGCTACAACCCCCACATTGCGCTTTCTGGAAAACATGTATTATAAAAGTTTTTAAAACTTTGTATTATAAAAGTCTTTAAAACTTTTCTCTAAAAAAGTCCGAAAATGGCCGCGTCACAATGTCGCGGACAATAATTCTTCGAACGCGAAAATTTTCTGTTAGGTCTTTTCTTGGAGCAAAAACAGAAGTTATCCGAAGTAAGCATACTATATCGTAGAGCTCATCGAGGGCAATAATCGGGTAGTAGTAACTTCCAAAAAAACGCAAGTTTGAATTTTGTTTTGTTTTTTAAAAAATAACTTCTATTTTTCTCTTTCAAAGCAAATTTCTTCACATGGAAACCTATTCAAGGCATCCCAATAAAGCTGTTCGGTTAAAATGGATGCTCTTTGCCATTCTCTATGCATCGGAGGTGTGCTGGTGAGTTCTTTTGCTGAAAATGGCTCTTGACAGTGCGTGCACATGACCCCACCTGCACCTCACCGCTGACTTGCACCGCTTTGCAGGCTTTTATCTCAGCCGGCAGTCACTCCATGAGTTTGCAAGTAGGCTCATTCGAAAGAACGTGACTTCCTGGACACGATGGTATGCAAAAGAGTTGGGTATGAGAAACAGCAGAGATTTGGCGGATGGGGTGACAAGGCGCAGCCTTAGAAGTGAATGGAGTGAAGGCTCTTATCAACACTAGAACGGTCTTAGAGCTCCGAAATGGATCTATTACAAGAAAAATGGCGGTTTTCAACTTCCGGGATGAAACTGGTGGCGAAAGAAGCTTTGCTCAATTTCAACTGAAAAATCCTTAGCCTACCCCCGCTTTGTCACCCCATCCGCCAAATCTCTGCTGTTTCTCATACCCAACTCTTTTGCATATCATCGTGTCCAGGAAGTCACGCTCTTTCGAATGAGCCTACTTGCAGGCTCGTGGAGTGACTGCCGGCTGAGATAAAAGCCTGCAAAACGGTGCAAGTCAGCGGTGAGGTGTAGGTGGGGTCATGTGCACGCACTGTCAAGAGCCATTTTCAGCAAAGAAACTCACCAGCACACGTCCGATGCATAGAGAATGGCAAAGAGCATCCATTTTATCCGAACAGCCTTTTGGAATGCCTTGAATAGATTTCCATGTGAAGAAATATGGCTTGAAGAAGGGAATTGAAGATTATTTAGAAAAATCAAAACAAAATTCAAGCTTGGGTTTTTTGAAAGGACTCATTACCCGATTTTTGCCCTCGATGAGCTCTACGATATAGTGTGCTTACTTGTCCGGATAACTTTTGTTTTTGCTTTAAGAAAAGACCTAACAGAAGATTTTCGCGTTCGAAGAATTATTGCCCGCGACATTGTGACGCGGCCATTTTCGGACTTTTTTAAAAAGTTTTTAAAACTTTTATAGTACATGTTTTCCAGAAAGCGCAATGTGGGAGTTGTAGCTCTTGAACAGCTCTATCACCCCATGCAATCCAGTCATTTTTTTATCATCGTTTTCCATCCAAAAATGGGCGATGAAAAAAGGAAGGCGACTTGTCCGCAACTTTTTGGCGGTCACTGTATATGCTCCGAACCAACCCGGTTTAGTGTTAGTCTAGAAACCAACAAATTCGGGATATACAAAAGTATTATATCTGAGGCTTTTTGTATAATGTATTGGTTTGAGGCATATTATATACACCTAGCCAAATTTGGTGTCATGCAAACAACAACATGCCTTTTGTTCGTGTGGATCTTGTATTTGGATTCGTGCGTTTGCGGAAGAACAATTTCAACACGTGAAACCTGACATGTTTGCCAGTTTTTTTTTTTCAGGGTTCCGCCTCGGACCCTACAGAAACGATAGCCTCTTTGCTTTTTAGCTCAAAAACGAAGTCCAGTTTAAGCACAGACGACCTTGCCGGAGCCTGAGGTAAGCTTAGAGAAACGATATCTGGGAAACTTCTGCTGTGAATCCTTTTTTGTAAGTAACATGCACTTTAGTGACTAATGCTCAAAAATTTGCTATCTGCATCTCCCCTATAAGCCTAAATAAAAAACGCCCAAACAAAAGCTCACCTTTAGCTTATACTTGAATCAGGATGAGTATGACAATTCATACGAAGTTGCACAGCTCTTCTTAACTTGCTCGTTTATTGAGAACAATTAGTTATCATCTATTGTTACACAAAATGCAAAAAATATCTATCGTAATATCAAGAAACAATGGATTGCACCTGAAAAAATATGGCACACGCCAAACCTGATCCATTTGATCCACTTGATCTACTCGCTATTGGAGGTCGATGAACTGACCAATTGCTAAGTGAATGAAGCAGAACAAGTCAATAAAGTGGATATCCGCTTCGCTATTGGTCAAGTCACAAGTTTTGACCATTAGCAAAGTGGAGTAAGTGGAACGTGGAACAGATATGACGCGTACCTATGACTTGTACCAAATAAATACATTTTGAGCAATAGCGGAACTTGAGAGGGTAAGAATAATACTTTGAGGAAAGAACTATTTCTTGGAAGTAATCATCGAAATAGGGCAAATATCATGATCTACAGGGAGCACATCGAGGGCAAGGTGCTATGCCGTTTCGATCGCAGTGAGAGCATCGCAGTCGCACGCGAAACGTTTCGCGAACCTTCTTTCCTCCCCGACAATACGAACAGACTACGAATCCAGAGCCATTACACATGCTGCAGTCATTACGTCCCTGAATGTTCATGTTTTGAATTTCTTCGATTTTTCTATTTACTTAAGAAAGAAACTGTGATTTGTAGTTTGTTATTGTAGTAAATTCAGAAAAGTTTCTAGCTATACATACAGTGAAACAAGCAGACACACGGAGACAAAGAATACGATATTATTGAGACGAGACGAACCTGGAAATCGCGTAGTATGTCCACGAGATTATTATTTTCATTTTCTAGGAACAACGTGACGTCATTCTGGAATTTTTTTATTATTACACAGGCTCACAGTGCAGTAGAATAAATGTTTGACGATTTTCTTATGCCAGATTCTTTGAGGTACAGTTTTTATATAAAGAAAAATTAATAGATAGGTCGAACGCTATCCAAACGCTATTAAAAGGTTTACCAATAGTTGTAAATCGGTGTTTATTGCGGCGCAGCTATTTATTTCTAATTTGTTTTCATATATACTCCATGAACATACTATGGAAGGTTTGCTAATGTGATTTATTCTTACATATGCTTTGCGGACTAGGAACTCGGTGAAAAATTCGGTCGCGAAGTAATGTATTCGGTAGTGTTGCTATTCATTATAGTCATAATGCAGAGTAGAACTACATGGTCAAGAAGAACTGCTAAACCTTTTTGTACTTGAAAACCCACGAATTCAGACTTTTCATCCCGTTTACAACATCCCTTCTTATTCCTACTTTTCACAAAATATAGAGAAGATGTGTGAGCGGTTTCCTACCGCGTGCATACGGCCTGTCGCAACTATTCTGTTAACTTTCATAGTATTCTAGAGCATTTGTACTCACCCCGAAATACCTGCCATTAACATAAACTACTGGCAAGCTATCGTAGACAAGCTCTTTGTCAGCCTGTAATAGAGATGCGAATAGTATTTATAAATTTGAGAAGGGAAATGACACTTGCCGGAGACAAGCCCATTCGGTCTACCAGCTCGTCTGCGAAAGTGGGGTCTAAGTAAAGATCTCGAAACTCCGCCTTGATTCTTAGAGCTCTCAACAGGTTGATCTATAAAATGTTGTGATGAAGAATAAGGGAGTTTCCAGCTTGACCCACCGTTTCTTTGCATTTGTCGAAAACACTGTGTACTACTCCACAGCTTGTGATGTAAACAACGATCTTGTTGGCTTCTTCTTGAATATAGTCTCTCTGAAGTAAAATATTACTATCACAACATTTAGAAGTTCTGCATTATCCGCGGTTGTTGATGCGGAACAAAAAAATATGGGTGCTGCTACAAAGCAGGTTTCCAGCTTTTAGACATTTCAAAAATCTTCTATCTTAATGATGCAAAATGCTGTAAACCAGGGCTCGACACCAGCTGAAATCAGGAAAATTTTGAAAAAGCTCCCTTTGTAATCGGGGGTGTCTAGTGGTATAACGGTTTTAACCGGATCGATAGACAACACGGATGGAACGACTAATAGTTTATCTCAGAAAAACGGCAACGAACAACAAGAAACAACAATGCATAACGTGAACAAGGCTTAACAACGAAACGACGGGCTTTACCCTCTTGACCACTTCGGCAGGCTTACTAGTTACTACTCTCTATCTAAGGGGGAGATCTGACTCTTTTCGATGGAGTTAGCTCCCTCTAGCGCTTCCTCAGCGCGGACTCTGAGACTCCCCCTAATTCCCGGTATTTATACCCTGTAGAAGAGGTCAGCGCGGGCTTTTCTTTCCGCCACTGGAGATCGGTAGGTCGGTGATCCGCGCTCTCTGACATCTCTCCCCTCCGGGGAGCCGGCGTCCTCGGCGGCTGCTGCAACTTGCTGAGCTTTGCGTCGGGAACTCTCCTGCGGATGTCGTTGTACAGGTAGCGCGCATATCCATCCCTGAAGTACGTGCCGTATACTTGAAAAGAATTTTGGGGTCCATCTGCTTCTCTGTTCACGTTCCCACATTCTCTTCTTGAGGGAGTCAACGTGAATAACTGATTTGGGTTTGCCCATTTTTTCAGTACTGATTCAATCACCGTCCACACTTTTGACTTCGTTTTCCACATACCAGTCTACTTCCACTTTTACACCTCCGAGAAAGCTCATCACATGATTGGATGCATCGTATATGCTTCCTTCCACAATGTCGAAAGTCTGAAGTGACTCGACATCGTATCCATTGTTCCTCGCTTCTATAAGCACTTTCACGGGTAGTATACTTATCACTGAGCCCGTGTCTAGAAGTGTCGAGACCTTTCTTCCCAACATTCTCGCTTGAAACACTGTTGTCCTGCCAACAATTCCATATGCGTCGGATTGGGAGCTCTTTACGACCATGTTCCGGCTCCTACTTACCATTGATGTCACTCCATCTAAAGTTTTGATGACGCCTTCCTTCTCCGTTTCCCTGTACTTACAATCTCTCATCACATGTCCAAAGTGACCACATTTGAAGCATTCCCTTCCTGATACTCATCATAGGCACCCGAGCTACTCGTTGTCTCATGCCTTCCTATATCATCTTCCCTTTCGCCTCTCCGCTGAACTGCTTCGACTTTGCGTCATAGCTGGCACATATCCTTTATCTTTATTTGCTTTCGTCCAGGAAGGAGCTTGCCGTTCACTCCTCCTCTCAAAGTTGCAGAACCTCCGCGATTGCTCGATCTCAATCGCGATTTCTTTTATCTTATTATACGCTTCAGCTGGGTCCACTTGGTGTAGGATTCCCACAAGCTGCACGTATTCCGGCCATGACGTCAGATTCTCCAGTAGAATCTGCGCATACTCCATCGATCTTTCCTGAATGGTACATTGAGGATTGGCCTTCCTTGCTAGGTTCTCGAGGGCGACACAGAAGTCTGCAATCTTGGCCTGGCCTTAAGCGCATGTTCCTCAAGGCTGTCAGCGCCTTTAACCTAGCTGCTGTGGAGTCACAGGCCAGCAGTGAGGCCATCTCCCTCACCACTCTGTCGAAGCCTTGCTGTCTTACCCCCATGGGTATGCTCAGAAATAAGGACTTTGACTTTCCTTCCAAGTGTTCATCACCCAGGGCCTCTATCAGCAACTGTTCATCCTGGGCAATGGTACCATACTTTCTTTTGAACTTCCGAATGAATCTGTCGAAGTCCTCATCATCACAGCCCTTAAAGGCTCCAGGATCAGGAAAAGTCATGCTTTGAAAATAGCTGAGCAACTGATCCTCCACACCTCCATGATTGTCGAGTGGTCCGACATCCGACCCTCTCACTCAACACACTGCCTTTCCTCACTGCAACTGCCGTTGCTCTGGGACCGAGTATCTGGTTTAACTCGGCTGTTAGGTTCTCCAGCCTACCTAACACTGTGGCTATCTTAGCCTCCAACTTTTCTTCAAGTGGCAATCCATCAACCGGTATCCTACATCGGCTAAGGACCTTGCTTACCATTCCAGGTAGCATTTCCACTTCTTTTCTGATGAGGCTTATCTCCTCCACCATCAAGTGTGCTTTTCTCTCATGGATGTCATCTGCACATCTTTGCTTCTGATCCATATCCATGAACATGAATGTACTCGGCAGCGAAATGCTTCGCCTTGCCTTTACATTCATCGATAATCAACGCCGCAAGCGAAATCGCGCGTCTCAGCTGATCGAAGAGAGTCAATCACAATCGATATTCACGCCTCTATTAAGCGTGGATGATTTGATCAATAATTACTTCTCCCTTATACCTTAATTGAATGCTCGTATGTTAGATAGAGACTTTTTTCCAGTTGATCTTAGATCTGGCCTTCTTGGCCTGTTACGTACGTCACCTGCTTGATGACGTATAGATTTCCCACCTTTTTGGTCTTTTGGTTTCGCTTTCTTGGCCTGTTCTACGCGTTCTCTGCTGTCTTGCTCCTGAGACAGTCAATATCAGTCGCCCCGTGTGTATTTCAATCGATCCAGGTCGGCTCGGCCCTCATGTAACCGGGGGTGTCTAGTGGTGTAACGGTTTTAACCGGATCGATAGACAACACGGATGGAACGACTAATAGTTTATCTCAGAAAAACGGCAACGAACAACAAGAAACAACAATGCATAACGTGAACAAGGCTTAACAACGAAACGACGGGCTTTACCCTCTTGACCACTTCGGCAGGCTTACTAGTTACTACTCTTTATCTAAAGGGGAGATCCGCCTCTCTTCGACGGAGTTAGCTCCCACTAGCGCTTCCTCAGCGCGGACTCTGAGACTCCCCCTAACTCCCGGTATTTATACCCTGCAGAAGAGGTCAGCGCGGGCTTTTCTTCCCGCCACTGGAGATCGGTAGGTCGGTGATCCGCGCCCTCTGACACCTTTGATTTTGAAAAGTTTTACTGAAAAGGTTTACGAAGTCCCCTTTGACCATCTTCATTCCCCCCCCCCTTTCAAATAACAGGAAAGTATATAAAAAGGGAAAGGGAAGTAGAAAGGCCAGCATTATCAACACCAACTTGGTTTACTTAGGGGCGCGCTTCGATTGGTGCAGAAAACCGTTTTTTGTATAAGGACATTTACGGTGAAGATACATATGTTGAAAAAGGTGAAAATTTATTTGAGCAAAGGGTCGGGTTCATGGGCGGCATGCTTGTGGGACTTCTCCACCCGGGTCCACGCAAAAGGATATCACTGCTTTTGCTTTTCGTCTCCTGACGATATCCAGCTTGGCCCTGTTCCAGCCGTGTCGGGCCCTGCTACACAATTTTCAACGGATTCGACTGTCTCCGCCGATCGTGTACTTTGAACAATATTAGGTTGGCACATGAGTAATGCAACTTTTTATATAACTTTTGTCTATTTGAACGTAGAGCATTCATTTTTTGGCAGTATAAGGAATATGATGTAAGCTTCTAATGCACACATTTTTGCCTTATTTTACCACCTTATGTGAGGATTACGGTAGGTTTACGCCACTATGAAATTTTTTTTAGAGTGCATCAGATTTTGCTGAAACTTGGCCTATAAGGCTTGTTTGACATGCTGATCACAAAAATGAGATCCTTTCGCATGAAAAGGCCTCGTTCGTGAGATCAAAAGATGAATTTCATTTTAGCGACAAATGAATATGATATTCGTGTTTATTGCATAGGATTACCCTATATGCAAAGATATAGCGAATTCTGACTCTTCGCAGCTTAGTTATTGACAAATTGCCTTCAAAACTTGACGCATTTGACTTGTTCAACTTCTTAAAGGCGCCCCACCTTAATTTGTATTTAACTTTCATTTCTTTTTCACTGATTCCAATGTGCCAACTTCCAGCTACATGATGCCTATAATTGCTTTTCCATATGATTGAATAGAGTTTCGCAGGGCTTCATGTTTGCCAAAAAATCGTAAAACCTCGATTTTTAGCAGTTTTCAAAAAATGCTTAGATTTTTTGTACTACGTTATCAAAAATCAAACGGTTTGCGTAGACTTGCAGCTTACATCACGATTTACATGATGCTACAAAACGAGATTGCTACATAAAATAGAAAAAAGTTACGGGAAAAGTTGCAAAACTTATGTGTCAACCTAATGTTTAGACTTTTTTTCAGAAATCAAATATTCTCCACACTTGTATATAAACGTTCATATTGGCGGAAATGAAGACTTTAGCTTACTTTCCATTGGCTCCTCATGCGCATCATACGAATCGTATTGTAAACATGCATCTTGCGACCTCTGACGCTGCCATGCCTGGACAGCAGCACATCATCTGATGAATCCAATGCACTGAAAAGTTGTTGTTCGAAACAGATGAATACTTCAGTTGTAAGTCTTGTAACAAATTCCTGAGCATTTCTTAAAACAAGTTTTCTTATTGTTATTATTTTGTGCATGAAATCTCTGTTTCATCCATTCATTAATATACATCCGCTAACCCTTATCACGTTCATTTTGATTCGAATGAGTTGTAAAATAGTCGAAACTTTCAAATCGGAAAAAGGAATGTTAAAATCTACTTTTAGATATTTTATTGTGTCCTCTTAGGTCAGTAGGCAACAATGCTGAAAATTTGGTAAATTTGCAACATGCAGGAGCAAATACTTTAGTTCCCATGGATGGCTCTTCCGAAGACTTATTACGTAAATTAAAAACCAGGTTTCGTTTTCGCCATCTCTTCAACGCCAGTCAAAGATAGGAAGGTGTTGAAAGTGAACTTTTTGCCTTCTCTAAATCTTCTTCTCAAAGCAAAAATTTCTTGAGTTTCTAAGCGAAATGAGAAAATGATGCAAGTAGAGCATTGGAAAGTATAATTACATAAGTCGTGCGCAAGAATAGCGAAAAAAAGATGATAAAAATTAAATGAAGTATCAATTGCTCAGTCTATTACATGAAAAAAGCTACTTCAGCAGCTGATCATAGTCCCTCTCTGTTCAATAATCTTTTCATTGAGACATCTGATGCTGTGCCATCAAAACATATAATTTCGGGTGTGCTCTCTGGCGTTATCATTTACTGCTCCCTTATCAAGGTGCAGTTATGGCGCCTTTCTGAAGCGACAAACGACAAATGGATGGAAAAGCCTAGCGGAAAAGTACAAGCGATGTATTCGACTACCAACTGTTGACATGCACATTTGCGCTGAGTTCGAGGTGAAGGCGATCGTTGACTTGTAAAATAAATAAGAAAAGTCTGAAATGAATTAGAAAAATACAGCAAACTTTGCAATCTCTTGGTCTTGGTTGTGTAGAAAATAGCATGCGGCTCACTCACTCCTTCTTAGTACAGTTGTACCTTATGCCGCACAGCACTCGTGACAATTTCCTGGTAAAGCTAAAAAAAGAACAAGTAGTGCGGTGAGCTCTCCGGCAGTACTCTTGCTTTGGCGTAAATCGCCATAGTCCATCGGATATGATAAGCAGATATAAAGTGGAACCAAGCTATCTACTCACTTACTCGTTAGATAAAGGATTATGACCTAACTTAATGGCGTTTCCACATGAACGAGTTGTGAATATCTAAAAAATTTCAAAATCAAAAGTTATTCTTTCCTAAAGTCAATTCCTTGACTCATACTGTCAAATGTCAAACTTCTCACTCGCAACTCCACGTACGAAATATTTTGATGCTATTCGAATTGAACACCACTTGAAAATGAGAATGATGGAAGCCGAAGGTGCTGAATGAATCAGTAAATCACTTTTTCATCATTCTTGACAGGGCTCGGCACGAGGTGGCTTACAAGCAAGCTGGGTATCGTTTTTGGGACGAAAAGCAAAGGGGGTTTCGTTTTTGTGACCGAAGAGACACGGAAAATTGGCGACGGCGACCTTTTTTTTTTTAGTCGACGTTTCGTTTTTTGGGGGATTTTGGGGAATTTTTCAGGTTTTTAGAGGAAATTTGGTTGAGGGTCAAAGGGGACTTCGTTTTTTCCATTTTCATCTAGCCACCTCGTGCCGAGCCCTGATTCTTGATTACCAATTTTCACCTTGAAAATAATTGTTGGTGAAAGCACACCCTTAAATGTTTATAAAGGGCCTCGTCCAGATCTCGTTTGAAAAATAAGGATTAATTTTTGATGGACGCAAAACAGTTGTCAATATAATTTCATGGTCTATGGACTTTGGTGCATTAGGCTTCAAGATACGTGCCATTGGTGGTTCAATAATGTGTCGCCCATGACGAGTCTAAGATTATCTAGCTTATTTGTGATAAAAAAGGCTGTAAACAATAATTTATAAATTGAAAAAAAGCGAGGAATTCCTTAATGAGACAGTTACATGCCGCCAAACGAAGACTCTACTTTTTACTGAACTTTGGCATAGTAAAACTCCAAATTCCCACAGGGCGGACGTGAATGTGATGCGCCACACTTAAGTTGTCCACGCTTTAGATTATAAGTTCGGATTGTTGGGGTTCCTTTTACAGCCGAATCTTATATGTAACCCCAAATCTATGCTTCTCATCTTGTAAAAATGTAACTTCATAATTAGAAACTTTTGAGGCGTTAATGCTAAAACAAGTGGAGCGTTGACCAATCAACGAGTGTGCATTCGGGTGAGTGGCGCATTTATTCAGCGCTTGGATGGCTCATTGGCCACCCGCGCCACGCCCACTTATGTTAACGTAGAATAAGCTCCTAAAAGCAATTTTTGACATTTTATACACTCTGCAAATTTTTGGATACAGCACATCCAGTAGATCCGAGAGATAGCGATCGTTTGCATAATTCAATCTGTAATAGGAGACTGGAGTCACTATAATTAGTTCCGAATGCTGACGACTGCGATAAAATTTCAGCAAAAATCAGGATTTATCAAAGTGAATGAAACTGTTCGGCAGTCTCGACACCTGTGGTACGGCTATGAAGCAATAGTATGCACCCGGAAAAAGCCCAAATTGCTATTTATGGGCTATTACGTTTAAACTTTCAGTTGGCAAACTCTTTTTGCAAAATCTCTATACTCTACAATGCGGCAGAGGCATCGGAATCAGTGAACTCGATTTCAAAACAATTCAATTATTTACAATTATGAACAAGTTATCCTACTTTCAGGTGTATAAGCCGAGTGAGATTTTTTTTACTGAAATTGACTAGCCCAAACACGTCAAAGGGGTTTGCGACTAAAGGCCCTATATCATGCGAAGACTGCCTGAGAGATCGTACGGTATAAGGATCGCTTTGCGAAACACAGTGGCAGCTGAGCAGCTCACTTGAAAATCCGAAAAAAGTGGGTTATACACCCGAAAATAGTGTACTTGCACGTCTTTATGACTCATGTAGGTAAATTTCAAATTTTTGCGACGGCTCGAAGGGGCAGGGGAAGGGTGGAGGAACGGGTGGCGTGCTATGGACCCATGTTCCCATGTCACAAGCACACGAGGCGGCTATGGACAAAACAAAGGAATATTTTTGAGAAGACACTTTAACGAGTCAAAATTACTCTAGAAACTTGTTAATATGAATGGTAAACTGACTACATGTGGGAAGTCACATACGAGCACGGATGAAAAGGATCTTGATGAAAATTTGAGAAAAAAATAAGTATTCTGAGCCTTTCAAATATGCCAGCACATGAAAAAACATGCCCTAAATTGCCCAACTTGATAAATACTGTTTCAAATTGTTCAAATAAAAGTGGGACATCTCAGTCAAAGAGTAAAGTGAATAACAATGAACAAAAGTCACATTCCCAGCAGTATTCTCTCAGATAATTATGGAGCATCTGAAGAAGACAAAACACCAGTTAATCGGATTACTAAGGGACTGCAAATAATCCGTAGCGATAGGGGTTTTTGCCAACTTCGGGTGTTTCTTCGGAAACAATTTATTAGGTCATTCCGAAACTAATTTCACTTTCCAGAGGGGCGCCATATTTGATGGAACAAAGCCTTCTGAGAGATCTTGGTAGCACCGATGCAACATTTTATCCTATCTCTAATGATTATGAAATCTTTGCAGCATAATCAATGAGCTCTCGAAAAATGACCAAAATCTGCGGCTTATGCTTTTTAAAATGTTCAAGTTTCGCAATTTTTCTAAATCCTCATATCATTCCGTAGTCTAAGTAACAGGTAGATTGAGCAAATCCTACAGAACACAGCACAATATTCCCTCCCATATCTCGCCACAATTCAAAATTTTTTTTACTGAACACCGGACTTTGGCAGGCCTACATCAGACACAAACGCATCAAACACATTAAATCTTTAGGATTATTTAGAACTATCAAAGTGGTATTATAATCTGATACCAATTTTACAACCCAAATGGAGTTTACGGAATTGAAGTACCTAATCTCGAATTTTCCGGGTACAGCCCGGGCGCGCTCGAAACATGAATTATGATGATTATTCGCGAAGATTCCATGAAGCCGAAACAAAAAACATCCATTAGAAAGAGGAGAAAAAGCTGCATCAAACAATCTCCGAGTTACTCTCTTTTTGATGTTCTACGAGATTTTAGTCGACCAAGTATGTAAATTGGTAGCATCAGTTGAATCTTATTAGGAACGTACGACAAGCTGTGGAAAGAAGAAAAAGTTGTTTTGCTTCCTGTAAGGTTTGGTATCCATTTGTTATTTGGACTCATTGGAGGGTTGATTTAGAATTCTAGAAAAATTGCGAAACTTGGGCATCTTAAAAAGCATAAGTCGCAGGTTTTGGTGATTTTCAGAGAGCTCATTGATTATGCTACAAAGTTTTCATAATCTTTGAAAAGATGAAATGCTGCATTGAACGCTATCAAGAACTCCCAGAAAACTTTGTTCCATCAAATGTGACGTCTCTTTGAAAAAAAAAAACGAAATAACTTTTGGAATGACATACCAAAACGGCAGACTTCCAGATTTCACACACTCACAGAATTATCTCACTGAATTCTCGTAAAAATGTGGATACAGAGTGTCTCAAAAAATGTATCGAACGTTTGATCTTTAATAACTTCCCTAAATGGGAAGCTTTCGTAAATCATTGTGTGTCATACGGTAGAGCTGGGTTCAACTTAGATCTACAGTATAGAGCGAATCTAGTTACTCTAGGATTATGTTGGGAATTTTCGACAAATTTTAAACTTCTGACAGGCGAGAATTGCTTTTAAAAAATTCCAAAAAAAAACCAAAGGACATTAAACCGAGGTTTTCGGGGATGCTGAATCTAATTACAGAGTATTACGCTACCGCACTCCTCATCTTCCTATGGTAGGAGTACTGTAACGCTAAATAATTGGCTTTTGACGACGTGTTTGTAACTCAAACGTTGATTTAGTAAATTTTGGAAAGAAAGCCAGAAATTCAAGTTGCGTGCTCCTATTATAGGAAGATGAGGAATACGGTAGCGGAAAACTTTGCAGTTAGTTTCACCATCCCCGAAAACCTCAATTTAACGTCCTTCGGTTTTTTGGATTAATTTAGAAGCAGTTCTCGCCTGCCAGAAGCTTAAAATTAGTCGAAAATTCCCACCATAATCCTACAGTAATCAAGGGAAATCGGTGATTCGCTCTATACTGTGAATCTAATCGTAAGTTGAACCCAGCTCTACCGTATGACACTCTAAGATCCGCGAAAGCTTTCCATATGGGGAAGTTATAAAGACCAAACGTTCGACACATTTTTTTGGGACACCCTGTATTTTAGAAACTTTCATCAGTCGAAATACCTTGACTAAAAGACAAACTTTGCTGAATGAGATGAAGAAAACAAGATTTTGCGAACTGTTGCTTTTAGGAGTTCAGAATGATGAGAAAAAAAATGTGAGTTTCCGAAGAACTCGAAGTCTGCAAACTTGACACAATAAACTTTACAGAACAGTTGTTTCTAATTCAAACAAACATACCTTTCCAATTCCAAACGCATCAGATGCAGTTCCCTCATAATTTTGATGACATCCAGTCGCTTCATTTCTGTTGCAGACTTGATCGTCAAAAGCAGTTTACCGGATAACCTAGAATTATTTATAGCTCAATAATGAGATATTTGCTACAATCAAGGTGTAAGCGACTAAAATGAGAGTTATTAGACATCGTGAATTTCTATAAATTCTCACACTACGTTGACATACGGTTGGGGACGGTAAACACTGATGACGGAGAGAGGGTGCAGCAGTAGTGACCGTTTGTCAACAAACTGAATCTGAGAATGGTGGCGGCAAGTAATAGAGCAGATAGTGGCTATGAGATAAATGCTGTGTAATAGAGATTTCTAACTCTATTTTAGGATAAATGACAATTTTGAAAAGACATTCCGGTGTGGATTTTGGTCAATACTACATTGCAGAATTGCGGCGGAAGTTTAGAGCTTATTCCGAAAATATTAGGATGGCTCAATTTGTTGGCACCATTTTCAAAAATCCGTAACTTCTGGTTTCCTTAAAGGGTTTGCACAGATTTGATCTTTTTCTAAAGACAAGATTATGCGCTTTACAATAACATTTTATTGGCCTTTTAATACGCATACACTGCAGGGATAGAAGCTGTAAAAGAATTTTACTCATATTTCAATTTTGTGTGCACCCCCCATAGTCTGAAACTTGCACCGAAAAGCGGAGCAGAACTTATCGTAAGTCCTGCCCCTTCTTTTCACATGAACAATTCTTATATTCGATATAATTTTCTACATGAAGTTGTAATTCTCAAGCAAGGGTTACGAGATGTGTTTTTCCTGAGAATTGCCGCTTTTTATAGAAACGTGGAATCAATAATATTGGGGTTTTTTTGGTTTTGAGTGCTGTTAATTGAAGCCCTTTTAATTTTTGGCAGAGTAGAATAGAAGCTCATTCCACTCATCTTTAGATAGAGCATGAAAAGAGCTTTTCAGTGGTATGGTAGATCGGTCCCCAAAGTAAGAATTTTTTCAAAGAAAATTCGCCTTGCAAAAAGTTTAGAAAAACGCCCAAATTTTGCATCAACGTAATACAACGCTTGCTCGAACTAGAGGTGAGGAATTTTTTGATATTGCGTGCTCCAAATTTTGATGCGAGTTTTACGTTTTTGGCGATCTTATACAGAATCAAAAATAAAATTTCGGTATTCATCTAAACTTTTGCGCCAACCTAGTAAATGCGACCAACATTGAACAGAACCCTCGTAACACACTGATTTATATTTGCAAAGATGCAGATGGCTCAAAGCCACAGAGCAAGTCTAAATTTACGGCAAAGGTGTTAAATCTTGCGGCGTCCATAAAGAGTGAAGTGCCGCATCGGGCTATCATATCGGACGCGCTTATCAGGTGACCTACACTTTTACGAAGGAATCGAAGTGAAGCTTCCGCTCTTTGCTTACCATTGTAATATGGAGATTAGTTATTGAAGTACACCGACGATTTTGTTGGAAGCACAAACTAGCTTAGCGTAAAAACCTCATCGCAACGAGTTTTTGCCCTTTATATTGAATTAAATTCCGCTATCGTAGGACAGCACTCAAAGCCTACCACTCTTTCTTGAAAGATCCAAAAATCTGGCCGAATGCTTAGCGAAAAAAAACTCGTATGAACTCTTAGGCAGGCGTCATACCAACTACATTAGTTTCGGAATCAACTGAAACGAAGCCACTGTACGACGAGCATTTGACATTTGGTGTCGCGTAAGAAACATAAGCGCGGTTGCAGCAACGAACGATGTCTTTCACTTCGTTTTCTTACTTGAGAAAATCCAGCATGTTAGTACCTGTTGTTGGCCATTGCTCTCATTTGATGGTGATATGTATAGGACTCGAATTTCGCTTACAAGTGACAGCTACATCAAGTGACAAATGCCTGCCGTTTAGTTACTCCTGCTCAAACGATTCTAATCAGTAAGCTAAAGAATAGCGCGGTAGTTGTCGGACCTTCGCTCAATGCGCTTATACAGAGCTATCAGAATCTATGAAAAGAAGGTTACATAGGAATACAATATGGCAAGGTTCAAAGTCGTATATGTAATTTGTGTTCCCTAAACGAATGCTGGAGAGCACAAACAATATGCATGACAGTGTTCGCGTGTACAGTCATAAAATCGAAAACCTCTTGTTACCTTTCTCGTCGCATTCGCACGTGAGGAAACATACAAACAACAGAAAGAATTGATTGCATTGCACGGTAAGGAATTCGAATAACAAGATTACATTTGATATGAGAGACGTCGATGGTAAAAAATGCAGTTCGACAATCGATTTAGTTCTATAAGAGATGGTTCACAACTTTTAGAACCTAAGGTCTATCGCATGAAACACAGTGTGCTATTTTTGGGGTTGTGTCAGTGCTTGGATCATCTGACTATAGACGTTTTCTGATTTCTGATGGTGCTTGCATCCAGTACGCAATGTTGCGAGCATACTTCGCGCCATCCCACGATTTGGCAATACTCCAGTTCCATGTGCGACTCTCGATGAACCTTGGCATATCATGATTGTTTGCGTTGCTGTAGTCTGTACCAAGATTGTTGAATCGTTTATTCGGCTAACGTTTCGGCCTCGTCGGCGCTTCGTCAGAGCCTATAAAGCGTAGAACATTTGGGTTTACCATGACACATATCCTCATCACTTGCAGGAAAAGATCTGAGAAGGAGACCAGATTTTATTTAAATTTAGAACATAGTTCAGCATAGCCGTTAAAAGTTATTATGTCCATAATAAGGTCAGTGGGTAGATAAATCAAACTCGCATAGATTCAGGAACTGCGAAAGCTCAGCAATTACCTTTTGATTCAAATGGATTGGCGGCTGGAGGGCGGGGCTTCATGTCCTAATTGAAGGCAATGTCTCGGCAAATTCACGCTCTGGGAAATATTGCTATGGTGGGGTTCCTGATCATACCATTGACTTCCAGGCGCAGTCCGGCTGATGATGTTGATGTTGATGCTGGTTGATGTTCCCCCTGGGCCAAGAAAATAGCCTTTGAACCGGCGCGCGACCCCAATCGGCGCGCGCTCGGTCGACTTCGCTTACTGTTTGGCGCGGGACACCGCGACCGCTCTTCTGCAATGTGCATGCTATCCAAAGCAAAAAATACAGGCAGCAGGGTCTTCGTGCCGGGCCCCCCATCTTTCCACTGAAATTCTCGTCCGAGCTGCCTTTTGGAGATTGGGTAAACACCCCGAAAAAGATTTTTCCACTCATTTAAAAGCTCAAATTCGGGGTCTACGGGCCGAAAGGGCCCAGAATATGCAAAAAGATGGAAAAGCTGCCGGGACACTGCCTTTAAGGCTAAAGAATGAGCACGTTCGCAAGAGAGACGCATATTGCGCCGCGGGTGCGCGCGGTCGCTTTCCGGCTGCCAATCTCGTTGAATCAAGGGGTACATCGATGCATTCATGTTCTCGACCCATTTCTGGGATTTCTAGATGGAATCCAGCCCGCCTCAAGGCTCCCGATCTTTCAACTTTTGCAACTTTTGGTCTATCCAAACTCCGAGGATCGGTGCCATTCATAGCAAAGCGCACACCAGCTGGCGGTAGTCTAAAACAGTTTTACAACTTACAATAAAGTGAGCCATGTTCCAGGATAAAAAGGAGTTTAGCCTACCTCTCAAATCTTTTCCTAAGTGATGAAGTGTTTGATGGGGTTACTCTAAGTGTTTCATGCTTTATAGGCTATGAGAGAACGATTACGCTGAGGATTTTGCCGTTTATCGTGCTGTTAGCTTAATTCACGTTCGAAAATCTTGGTGCCAACCACAGCAACGCAAACATTTATAACGACATTCCAGTTGTCCATACCTCATCGTAGGCGCATGTTTAATACAAGAACATAGGACATTTGGATGATTCACAAGTCGCACCATGCACTTTTGGTCGGTGGAAGTCTAATTCGATTACATCAAGCAAGTCGCAAAATCGCGTAACTACTGAAATCGCGCGGGGTATGCCGGAGCTCAACTACTCAAAATCGAAGAACAGTAAGGCAAAACATATCAAATTGATAAGTTTGATGGCCAGCTGGAATGTCTACAGATACTGATGGTTTTGGGAGACGGCCGTTCTGAACATCAGCAGCCTAATTACTGCGCCTCTGAATGGTCGGCGTTGCCGCGGCGCTTGGGTAGGCGAAACTGTCGTTAGAGACGTCTGAATTGGATTGCAAAGGCATTCTCATGCTGAAAAGAATTAAACAAGATTTCGAGTTTCACATGAAACTCAAAAATGTTATACGTGGCTTAGGTAAATTCTTCAGCTTACACGTGCAGACTTCATGTGTTTTGAAAAGTGGGCAGGGCGAAGAAATCACGAAAGTACCAGTAAAAAACATACAACTTTTCCAACTTTTTGTCCTCATAATTCAAACATCGTCACTATCATTATTTGTGTACCTCGCTTGCTATGAAATGCTCAAAAATATTTGAAAACTCTGATAGATTATAGGAAAGGTGGAGTTAGCGCCACCCGGGCAGTGCATACACCCCTGCATTTGGATTTTTCATGATGAAGAGACTATCGTACTCAGTGTAGCCATGACGCGATTCTTCCAAATTCAGCTTTCTTTTCTTACTGGAGTTAGTGGAGGAAATCATGAGACTTTTCCCTTTTCTCTCTAGGGAAGTCCAAATCGCAACGGCGATTTGGAACGAAATGCATATCAGTGTATGCGTCTTGTTGAGCTGAATTCAAGAAGATGTGAGCGTTCGGAGGTCCAAGTATGGCAAACGTTTAGTGCCATACCTGGACCTACTGCTATCCATTTAGAAATTGTTCAAAAGCACTTATTTGTGTTTGGTCAATGTTTTCACTGCTTGTTGTCAGCACACTCTTCACATCGCCGATATATGCATTCCCACGCTGATTCAAGTGCATGCATTGAAAACCCTAGTGACTTCTCACCTTTAACCGCTCATAACTTCTTCCAGAGAATCCCGCAGCAGAAGCGGAAGGCAGATTTGGAAGCGGCTCATCCATACCTTCGATAGTGTAGAGACAGGACGTCAAAAGTGAAGGTTGTTTGAACATATGACCTCATAAAAAGTGAAGGTTGTTTAAAGAAGATCAGAGAAGGTAAAATGACGTAAAACAGATATAGAAAGCAAAAGAAGCTGCTAAAAACTGGATAAAAACGCTGCACTGAGGTTTGAAAACTTTCATTTGGCGGTTTCAAGATGCAAGCTTTCGCTCCAGGACCAGCAATTCGCAACACTAAGTTTTTTTTGCGATTGCTCTGAAAAAACATATTTCGGAAGAAGTGGTAATCAAGAAGAAGATAAACAAGAGAAATTAGTTATGGAAACGCAAAATTTCTTTTTCAAAAAGTCGAAATGCACGTCGAAGCCGAATTTAATTTTTGATGCGTCCTTTGAATTTTCCCCCCCCCCCCCCCGCATTGACGTTCCCGTCTCTTGGGACGTTGTCTGAATTGTTGCGCTTATTGTTCTGAGCAACAGTCGCCCAAGCTGGAAAAAAGTCGCTGCGAAAGCATGAAACAGAGCAAGTTAAAGAAAAAAGTTAAAACGCACTTTTTACGATTTTTCGCAAAAAATTCCACCGTAATCGAAGAGATAAGGTCTGGGTGGTTGTCTGCGTTATGAACAGAAGCGAGATCTATAGAATCCACGAAAAAAACTGCGTGAAAAGAGGTAAACCAGGAGAAAAACAAGAGATTTTCGGAAACAAGACTTTTGCCGGATTTCTCGACCAGATCAAAAAATGTGGTTCTGGGACGTTGTCAGCGTGAAAATAGAGATCAAGAGCTTCAAAATTATATATAGCTTGCTATAATTGGGTTCGAAACAACAAAGAAAACGGTACCAGAGCCAAATGCCCCGCGCCCCTCGTTTGGGGTAGCGAGGTAGCGCGCAACGCGCGGAGACACAGACGAGCAGCGAAGACAGACCAGAGCCGACGGGGCATTTGGCTTTGGTCGTAGATCTCCGCGAAGTCTCAATAAAACCCTGTACATTATAGATCATTCTGATCGTCATGACACGACGAGGAGAACTGACAGGGTCCCAAGATTTGAAAATCATTCGTTAACGAGATAGACCAGCGTTTTCGTGCGCGACTCTCTGCGCAAGATTAAAGCGCAGTTTCTCGTTTTTATTTGACTCCAACAGCTTTCCTAAACTTCTGAAACTCGATTTTGATCAAATAAGAATTTAATTGAGAAATTTTGTCCTGAATTTCGGCGAAAATTTCACAGAAACCTAGAAACCTTCTTTTAACGTAAAAAAGGCTATGAAAACGCAAATTCTCGGTTTCGCTGAGATAACCTAAAGATGTCATTTCCTATATTTGCTACATTAACACTCGTTCCGATATAGTCAGGATTAACATCCGGGACGAAGCCCTGGATGACTTTTGTTTCTTCCGGGTGGGGGTTGTGTCCCCTCATAGCTCTTAAAGTGAAGGTTACCAGAGTACGTAGCTTTATGTATCGAGGGTATGGGCTCATCAAGACGCACCCAACCGTTCCTATTTCATACCATTTCTCCACTGCAACCTGGGATCCTTTCCTTGTCACCTTTTTATCCTCCGCCACAGTTTTAGTAGTCTAAACAGACTTTTCGGAGACCGACCATACCTCTCAAGCTCCCAAAAATCTTCGATAGTTTTGAGTTGAAAAAAAAAACACACGTATTTTACGATCATCAATTCAAGATGATCCAAATGTTTCATTCGCTTATCACATCTTGATATTGATGCAAATCATGACAGTAACATAAAAGCTTTTCCATGCAGGATCGCTGTTTGAAGCAAAATGGGTCAGAGAAAACTTCAGTCATATGATTGAAGTTATTGAAGTTAAGTTTTAGTATTCTTGAAATGATATCATTCTAAGAAGTGCGTGAAATTCAGTGAACGGGATTACATGAAGATTGCGGGAAAAGTGCTGGAAAAAACAGCGCTGTGGAGTGGAGGTGGAACACATAAAACATGCCAAAGCATAGAAATAAGGCAATATTGCTGTACAGTTTTGATAACCATGCAAAGAATGTCCACCTGTCAAATGCCGATCATTGCCGAACTACTAGAGCACACAATCACATGACTTAAAAGTGAAGCAATTAGTTAGAAACATTGGCTCCTTAATACGTAAGCGCTCTAGAGCAATGTTTATGCTCTTACGGGATAATAGGAAATTGCAATTGCGAGGTGGGTTTATGAATGCCTGAGCTGCCGTGATTGCTGAAAGGCGGTTTTCACCTAAAACAATACTTACAAGGGAAGCCTGTTCAGTCGAAGTGCCTTTTAAAAGAGATTTATACCGCATTAAAGGGCATAAAACGTTAATTCCAAAACTGCCTTCCGTATTTGCAGAACGCTTTTGGACGAGAAGTTATGAGCGTTTTTTGGAGCAAAAATTGAATGCGCAGTTTGGATAAAATGAATTGCTGTAGTCTTACTAGCCCTCAAACAATGCAACCAAGTGTAATATATTCTTTTTATTTCGGAGTATTTTTTCAATAAAGTGCTCTGATGATTATCACTGCTCCATTGAAGAGCTAGAAAAGTTACGGCTATTTTTGTCCCAATTGCACATTCAATTTTTGCTCCAATAAACACTCATAACTCCTCGTCCATGAATGTTCTGCAGATAAAGAAGACAGATTTGGAATCAACATTTCATGCTCTTCAGTATGGCATACATCCATCTAAAAAGGCCACTTCGACTAAACATGCATTCCTTGTTAGATAACTTAGGTTGTCCCGAAAGTTTTATCCGTTTTTTCAAACCACTATAAATCCACGCACAATGTATAACCGAATAAGTTCTAACAAGCATTCGATGCAGCTTTTCCTTCTCTTTCTTGTGGACACATTTTCGATCCAAAATCTTTTATGCTTAATTGATAACTCCCAAAATTCTCCACCCGTCAATTTCATACGCTTGAAGTTCAGCTAATTTTTAAAAATTTCATTTCAGAGTTTCGGAAAGGATTAAGTATAGATCAAATAGAACGAATCTCGGACTGCGAGGCAATATTTTTGTTTTTGTATTTTTTCTCCTAATCTGCTGTTTTTAGCTTCAAAAAATCAATTCTTTGAAGGTCTCGATTTTTGGCAAAGTCATGAAACACGCAACTGCAGCAAATACATGAAAGCTTTTGGAATTTCTAAAAACTAAAAAATGATTCTTATACATTATTTATGCAACATAACCAAGTTTGAGTTGCTTTGAAGAAGCTGCTTTTTAAATTTTCGATACTTTTGAGTGAGTAAACGTAATTAAAAAGCCGCGGTTTTCATCAAATAAATAATTATAACGGACTTGGAAAACGTCGTTCACGTAATCTAAAATGTGTACAATGTAGTCAAAGATTTGCTCTACATAACAGTTACTAGCGCTCTTTGAAAAAGTCAGGATACAAATTTTCAAAAAAAAAAAAGGAAAATTTGGTGTTACTGCTGAGCTGCTCAAAAAGCCATGACGATAACATTGCAAAGACAAGGTAGATCAGAAAGCAAGTATAGCTGTAAGAAAGAGTATAAAAATCTGAACTAAACGGTATTTAAGCCGCCCATGAATTCCCACGCCGCCCTTCCGTGAACTTTAGTGAGCGATGAAAGAAACGGACAAAACTTTCGGGACAATAGTACGTGGTAGCTATAGTATACATAGTGGCCATAGAAAACACCCACTAATTTGATCCGGTGTTCTAATGTTGTCTACAAGAGGAGAAAACGGACGGAGGTTTCTTGTTGCATGCAACGTGACTAGTTCCGGAGCACTCGTTCACGCCTTCAAACTTCAGAAAAGGGCAGCTTGAGGCTTTCTCGTAATTTGCAACTCATATCCGAAAATAGAGCTATGAAAAGGCTCAATAACAATAGCAACATGAGAACTGAAACTTTGGGTGGACGCTGCTTTGAAAGAAAAACGGAAACGTTGGTAAAGGCTAGAGGGATAACTCATCGACAAGATGGGATATAAACAATACAGTTTGATCAACATCGAACTAAGGCGGTTGGTAAAATTCGTCACGGATGATGTGACAATTTTAACACTCGAGACTGAGATTTGCGCACTAGGAATTCTTAAGGTATTATCCTTAATCCACTTTAAAATCTATGTACTTTAGAGATAAATGTCTAGCAACAGTGATGTAAATAAATGTCTAGCAACAGTGATGTACTGCCACGTATACGTCGGCGCAAAAATTTTGTCAATTTTCTGCCTATGCTAATCCCTCCAAGTAGACCGTGTAAAGTTTGGCTGACGGAGAAATGCATTGCACTAACTCTGAAGACAAGCCAGAAAATTATACAAAACTGCACTGATTCGCAAAAGGTTTGCTCTACCAGAGGGATGGGGAAACAACTTCTATACGATTGCGGACATCGCATCTGGTTGTCGCACCTAATGGGTGTCCCATAATTACTTACCGTTTTTATTTCAACCGTCGTCTTTTTGTACCTTTCCATCAATTATTATGACTTTAGTGATCATTCAACAGAGCAAAGCAAGTTTCACAAGTTGGCTATCAATAGTCTGCCCAGTTCGTATTCCAGTGAAGTTTTAGGCTGAAACATGATAGCAGTCAAAAGCGAACTCACCGTAAAAAATCGTATCTCGGCCAAAAAAAATCTTAGAAAATTCCCCATTTATCCTAACACATGCTCAACACATCGCACATTCGACTGTACATTTTCGTATTTTTTCCATGGTTAGAAATTAAAAAAAAATGAATGGAGTAAAATGGCAAACTCCGCCCTTAGAAATCCAAAGCTCCTTCCACCACGTGATCATATAGCTCATACATACAGAAAAACGATCATGTATTTGTATAAAGCCCTAAACCCTTAAAAAAGGGCACGATGTACCTAATTTCACGCGTATAAAACGCACCTTTTTTGTTTTTCAAGCGTGCCGCTCAGCCGCCTCGTTATGTTTCGGACGAGACTTGTGCCGCACGATACTCTCAGTTAATGTGCAAAACTGTAAGTAGTTTTTTGGTCGCGAAGTCCTTCGGCGCGTCTGTGCTGTTCGATTTAGAAAAAAATCCCCGCGTCCTATACGCATGGAATTAGGATAATGGTTTTAACATCCGGATCTCCTAACTAAATGTTTCGTGCCCTCAAAGTTAGCCAGTGCTAGCTCCCTTCGGCTAACAGACTGTTCAAAGAAGTTGGGAGCATTTTGTACATCTAGGTTACAGACATGATTTTCTCTGCAATTATCACATGCCCTGAAAACTGCCTACTATAATTCTAGAGCCGATAAATCACTTCGCGTTATTTCGCATAATTTCAGATGAACTCTTTTGTGGTTGAGTTGACGGAAGATCTGAAAATTATAATAGCGTACCCAAAAGAAACGGAAAAGAGCTGATCGCCGCCTAGGTCAAAAAAGTGCTATTCAACGTAGCGCTTGAAAGAAAGTAAATCTTATACACTGTTTATTCAAAGGTCTCGGTTTTTTAAGGATCATCAAAGCGTAAGGGCTAAGCAATGCTGAATACACAGTCAATGTCAAACATCTGAGAACGGTGTGCTACCAACGAAAAATTGTTTACATTTGCTACAATTATAGCAGTCAAAGCTGCATTGACGTTATCGCTTGGTACAAGAGCTCTCTATGTACAGCTTTATTAGCACCACTTCGTTGTCTGCAAATCTTTCTTTCTTCATTGTCGTCGTTGTAAGTTTATGAAAACATTTGCTGACTGATATCTAAATTAATCTGACTTCCTACATAGTTGAGAGAGCTTTTTCAGTGTTTTGTAGCCTCATCCACCGATGACCATAATTCGTACGGCTTAAATGGAGATGGCGAAGAAGTTTCCAAGCAAGGTCTAAGAGTTATCGTCTGAACATCGGCAGTTACGCTAATTGTTTTAGGATATTCAAAGGCCAAGGATCGCAGGCAACAACGTATCGAAGAGACACAAAAACTCGTCATGAAAAGGCTTCTTAGTAAACCTAGAAGAAAGGTAGAATAGACGGCTTTTGTAAAGCAGTTTAATGAGGTCGTTCAGATAGATGAGCTTTGCAGTGAACTTGACAGGACCTGCTTCACAATTACTGATAAAATGTTTAAGCATGGCAATGCGTAAATTGCTCAGCGTTATTTGAGTCTATTCCCTTACATCAACATATTCAGGTTATTCGCGTTCAGAAGTTTGCGAAGGAAAGGACCGGAAGGTGTCTTGATTCTGTCGCAAACGAAGCTTCAACCTCAGTTACGTGAGTAATTTTGTCATAGTTGCCCTTAATGTAAAGTGTTTTAGCTCTTAATTGGGAGAACTTCAACTCTAAGGCATGGATTGTAAAGAAGGACTATGTCCGGTTGACCTATGCTCAACTTATGATTGCTGGAGCATTTTTGAGTGGAGGATTGGAGTTTAACACTACAAGGAAACAGGATGTGCTAATCATTGGACTTGGAGGAGGAGTCATCAACAATTACTTCACACAAATGAAAAACCAAGTGGTAAGGCTCTTCTGTTCCATCCAAGCCAAACCGGAGCAGTTTAGTTAAATGTTACCGTTGTCGATATTGATCCTGTTATGCTGAAAGTAGCCAAAAAATGGTTTGGATTCACGGAATCACCTTTACATCGCATTGTTATTGATGATGGAGTGCGATACATTCATGATGCAGCTAGAAGAGGTATTGGAATGTTTGATTAGCTGTCTCACCTCAGTGATCTCAGGCGAAAAATATGATGTACTCATCATTGACGTGTGCTACAATATACCTCTGCCTATGATGTGCCCAACAAAGGAGTTTTTGGAGGACGATTTAATCGCCTCTATGAAAGCAATAACTACAGATAACGGTATTATAAATCTCGGTCAAACTATCGTTTTGTACTTTTTCTAGGTGCGGTCATTGTGAACTTAATCGTTAAGCAGAGCGAAGAAGCCCTCAAGGTAAGCACTATGTCTTATAGGAGCACCAAATTTTCAAGGATGTACTAATTCTTGAGGCTCTTCCTCTATATTCCCGTCATTATCCTTCCTGCTACTTCATAAATTATGGCAAAGAAAAGGTGATTGTCGGATTTTATGAATTTAAATGATGCTATCGTAATCTCATTCTAGATGCTGTTTTGTTCAGCCAAAGAGAACAACTCTTACTTTAACACTACAGATGAACGCTTTCGCGATAACTCCAAAACTGTGGATATCACTCTTGGATTTCAGCTGTTTTCAATTGCTTATCCATCGCTCTATTGAGTAGTATTGATGTTTTATAGCGATCATTTGTATGAACACACAGACAAGCTTTTTCGTCTATATTTTCAGGGTGGCCGTCAAGAATAACGATAGCTCTGCCAACCGCTAGCTGCCAGCTGCTCGTGAGCGACGATTAGACCGCCCTCATATCAAAAGCCGACCAGCATCTCAACTTTATCTATCCTCCTTAATTCCTATCTGATCAGTAAAAAATTTATGTTCACGCTGAATCGAGCATAAAAAGTGCTGACCGCTGATCATTTTTATCGCAACTTATCAAAAGCGATATAAAGCGCGGATAAAGAAAATATACGCTGCTGAAAACTGTACATTTTGAGTTTGCTAAGTGAGGCGTTGCTACCTCTATATATGCTGTCATCAAGACACTTAGAGTGCCACAATTGCCAGCTATCGTTGTTCGTGGCATATTATTTAGTAAAATCCAGTTTCATTGAACGTAATTGCCCACATAACTTAGGGAAGCCTTTCTAGTCGAAGTGGCCTTTTCAAATGACAACTATAATGCTTTGTAGGTGTTGAACAACGATTTGAATCTGTCTCCTTTGTCTGTCAATTGCCTCTGGAGTTATGAGCGCTTTTAGGTCGAAAAATTGCATGCGAAAATGGAACAAAATCGTCCAAAATGCGTAATTGGTCAAGCGTTAGTTAAGCGAGTCTCATTCAAGTCTTTCTGTCTAATACTTTTATAGTCAAAATTGCTCCATCTCAGCGCAGAAAAGATCGTAACCTTTGTTTTTACCTAGATTCTGCATTCATTTTCCGCTCAAAAAAACACTCATAGCTTGGCTAACAGTAGCATCTTGACAAATAGAGAAGAGATTTGGAATAAGCGTTAATCTTAAATTGATATATAATTCATTTGAAAAGGCCACTCCGACTGAAAAGGCTTTCCTTATTAGCATAAGCGAGCATCGACTATTTGTGCGTGGTTATTTGTTGTGGGCAATATGAGCTACAACTGGATCAAGACTGAAAACTATGCTAAACGAGTTGAAGAAGCAGGCAAGATGAGCTCAATAGTAAATACACTATTCCGGCGCATAGTTTTCATCGCGCGCGGACTGGAATGCGATGTCGTTCGCGATGCGCGAAGCCGTACAAGCACCAACTACTATCTACCTAGCCTAGTACCCTATTACTGGCTTTTTACTTTCGTTCTTTATTTAGTGTCTTCGCAATTGTGATTTTATCTAACAAGATTCTATATCTTCTCATTTATTTTTTAAAGAATCCTCGGAACACAACATAAGAACGTTTAAATAGCAGTAGTAACATCGGAATCGAAAGGTGATAAGCTCTACACCCTTTAAAGGCAATGTCCTGGCAAAAAGTCGATTTTGAGATTTTGTGCTTACCCGGGCCTATTTGTTATGCTGAATCCTAAAATCCACACTGGAGAGCGCGAAAACGGCGGAAATGGCTCTAACGCAGGAGGGAAATCAGAAGTGGGTGGGGTCTTCCCCTTTGTGAGTTTACGGTCCCAGCTTCTGGAGCAATCTTCTCGGTTCCGATTTCAAGTCACGCATTCGCATGTGCCCTGTGGAGATGTCAGAACGACTAGCGAAATTGAGAAGATCGCTCCCGAAGCCGGGAGCGTGAATCCACAGTGGGGAAAACCCCGCCCACTTCTGATTTTTTTCCTGCGTTAGGGCCCTTTTTCGCCGTTTTCGCTCTCTCCAGCGTAAATTTTTGGATTCAGCATAGCCAATAGGCCCTGGTAAGCACAAAATCTCAAAATCGATTTTTTGCCCGGACACTGCCTTTAAATTAAAGTAAAAGAAATCACAACTCCGGTGCCAGTATTGTCATTGAAAAAAAAGAAAGCACACTCAAACTCTAGTATCCTTTTGGGTTCCTTCATACTACGCCACAGCACGCAGCAGCCTGCCGCAGCACGCTGCAACACGCCGCGTCCTGCGGCGTTGCGGTCGCAGTGAAAATATACGCTCAGGCAGCACAGCTTCGCCGGTTATGGATGTGTATTCATATCTGCTGCACGTTCGTGTTTTCCGAGAGTGTTACTTCACAGCGAGCGAGCTTATATTTCCACTGCGACTGCAGCGGAGCACGCCGCGTCCTGCGGCGTGATATGAAGAAACCCTTCAAAAGAAAACATAGCTTAAACACGCGCGAAGTCATATGAAACAAGAGAAAACAGTCTAACCATTTTCACTATCCCAAGATGCATGGACGAAAACCACCATCGAAATTGTATGTTTATATCTGCTAGTAAGTCTTGAATCCACTGAGAATCGAGTCAGCGCTGACATCTCGAAAACTCTGGAGCACCCATTCAGCAAAACTCCGACCGCTGTGACTTTATTCTTCCTCTTCTAGTCAACTTCTAGTCAACTCCCTGATTACTGTCAGCCATCCAAGCGTCCCTATGCTTCCTCAAATTGTCCTTGAAAAGTTTTGACTGCCACATTCAGCGGTTGCAGATACTTTGTGAAACTCCTGGGATAACCGCAATCTTAGAAGCTGTTTCAATCTCACTTCGACTTCGTCGCTCAAGTGAGATCTTGCGCAGTGGAAAAGGAGCATTGAGCGGCTAGGTTCTTGAGCAGCATTGGCCCTTGTCAGCCGGCACTCTCTGATCCAGTCCTTCACAATCGCTTCTGTTATCTACCCCTTTTGGTTCACTTTGACCACAACACCTTCTGGAAATCCCACTTTTGACATTGTGAGGCGTTTGAAAATCAGCATTGGTTTGAGCTTGTTACCATCAGCAGTGACACCCAGATCAACTATCAAAGTTTTCTTTTCATGACTCGTTGTGGTGATCGCCACGTCATCCTTGCCAGTTACTTCGACTGTTCCGTTGCCGATTACATCCTAGGGAACGGGTACTCATCAAAGTTTCCTAAGTTTGCTGGATTCATCGTGTTGTCCGTCACGAACTTTCTGAAGTTTGCCATCTTGTATTCAGCGATCGACGGTAGAGTGGCCGGCCAACTCAGGTGAGCTCTCTGACGGGAACTTCCTTCTTTTTCATGAAGCTATGGCACCAGCGAGCACCACCGCTGAAGTCGCAAGCCTCTGTGCTACCTCAATAGCTTTGGCCCTCAATCTTACGGTTGTGACTCTTCTTCTTCGTCCTCGCTGTTCGATAATCCATTCACTCAATTCTTCTTCTAATGTTGGCAAAATGTGGTGGGGGTCCCCCTAAACACTTTTGATTTTTTCGCATATTCTGAGCTTTTCCTGATCACTTCGCCATCTTTGTATCTCCTGCAATTGATACCAAAATGTAGGTAAGCCTGGTTCCGTTTTCGGGAGATAACACACTTCTTTCAGTTTGAATTCGGCTGTGTAGGAACTCCTCAAACCTGTGGTACCAAAATTAGTATACAGTTTGAAAGGAGTAAAAAAATACCTGAAGACATGACTATCCGCACTGAAAGGACCCAAACTCAGCGAGTTTTCACTTTGCTAGATAACTCTTTTCGAAGGCGCTTTCGCGCCATTGTCCGCTACTTCGGGTGCGGCTTATATAAGGTGCGGCTTATAAGCCGGGAAATAGGGTATATGAATTTATGAATCGAAGAAGTCTTTGCAATCCTTACCTCTAATCAGAAGTTTGGAGCAATGGTGGATGAAGAAAGTAGTGTCTAAGTGCTAATGATTGTTGAAATAACCACAAACCACACGATGTCTGGCAAAGGTAGAATGGACGGAAAAACTCACAAATATAGTACCGCGAACTGCTTGACTATATGCGATGCGTAACTCACGAAGGGTCTACCATCGAATGTATTGGTTTGGCTAATGCTGCGTGTTAAACTCTTTTTTTCTTCGGAAAATCTCAGCAGCTTCTCGAGATTTCCAAGTTTGCATTGCACGTAGGGCGTAACAAGGTTACACGTCAACGTGGTTGATGCAGCAAATGCAAACAACCCAAAATTATTTTCTTTCCTGTTTTCTTGCGTCTACAAGTGCTTATTTTCGTCTAGAATTTATTTGGAATGTATTTTAGCACTGTCTCTTCCATAAGCACTTTGGTGCATGCATTTACTCTCTCTGCACTCTCAAAAACGAGGAATAAAAATTTTAAAAATTCAAAAATAATTTTCAAAAATTTTTTTTTCACGTGCATCGTGCAAAAACGCATGCAGAAAGCTAAATAAGATTTCTGACTTTTGTAAACAACGCTTTCCTGGTTACAGCCCCATTGATTGCCAAGACGTCGTTCTTTGACATCCTAACGCTTCAGATAAAAATGTATAGACATGACTGTCCCATCCACCATATTCTCCGAACATCACTATGCCCATCCTAATGACAATTCGCGCTGCTTCTCACTCTCATCTGGAAGGACACCCATTTCATTGACAAAAACTTATATCAAACAGACTTTCAGTGATAAAGTGAAAGTATTGCGCATGGACAGGAATGTAGAGATGCCGATGGTAGGCCATTGCATCCCGTCAACATTTCGAGAACATGAGATTTCTAAAAGCATGTAAAATTCCCAGAATCAAATAAAGGTGTGACAGATATTATCCGCCAACAATATATTCTTACATCGACGTTCAGACGATAATTGTAATGTAGTTACAGCTCATAGCCATCTGTCTGGAGCCATGAGTTAAATTGATGCCGTTGGATGCTCGCTTGAGCTCAGCTTTTGTGAGCACTTGGCTTAAAAAACAGAAATGAATGTAAGTGCGTGCTCCATTTCTTTAGCAGGAATTTATTCACTAGTATAGTGCAGCCAATTATAAATCCACGGTAAAAGATCCCTATTTTGCCTTCTTGTTAGTTTGCTTGATGTTATGTCGTATCAGTCCAGAGTACAATTATCCAAGGCGGCTTCCGATCTCACTGGTTTTGAAAGGAGAAAAAAAACCAGAAGCTTGAAGCTCTTACTGAAGACTGCAATCAAATACAAATTCATCTGCTTTTTTCGATCATTATTGCATCCTTCAACTGCCTGATTAATGTGCAGCTACGTCTTGAAGTTTATAATATTTGCAATGCTTATAATAATTGCAAAATGTGGTCATGTGGTCCTGTTCGGAGTGATAATCTCTGCATTTTTTGCAGCATTAAAAAAAACCAGTTCCCTTCAACAAACGGTTGTTGTGA